GTATTCTAACATCAAAAAGCTCTTATGTATCCTTGCTACATTACCAGTTAGTGTAGCGGCAACAGAGAGGTCCTTTTCCTCACTCAGGAGGCTCAAGACGTGGTTGCGAACCTCTATGGCAGAAGATCGCTTAACTGGACTGGCACTTTTATAATCTATAAAGATATACATGTCGACACGGAATAAGTCATAAATCGATTTGTAAGAAGACAAAAAAGACATAAATTTTGTTATTTAACAATAGAAATTTTCCCGCCCCCTCGCCCCGGAGACTAATATGTTATAGAATATGAATCTTGTGCACCCCCTCCCTCAAACTCATCCTAGATCCGCTTTTGTTTGAGGGCGCCTGAATATGGCGTTAAATGCAAATACAAATATTGGGCTATCAAATTCCTAGTGAAGATCCTATTTTATTTAGGGGTTAGTATGATTCTTTTGCGTCAGTCGTATATCACTAACACTATTTCCTGCTAAAACAACGTACGTTCATAACAGTTTTTTTCTGTTTACCAATATTATTGAATTGAAGGGTTCTATCATAATTTCGAAAGTTCAAAATTCTGAGTTATACAGCTATATGTGGTCAATCAATGTTCTGCCAGATGTTGAAAAAGTATATATTTGAGGAAATTATCAGATCATCGAATTTCAACAAAATTTAAAGCTGGATTCATGAAGAAACACTCATCTGAAGCGGCAATACAAATAGTTTTAGAGTACTGGAGTTGTATGGACAATAGGAAACATTACAGTGTTTTTGGACTTCAAAAGGGTATTTCGTGACAGGGATAAATTACTTATAAAACTGCAACACTATGAATTTAAAGGATCTTTATCGAATATTCTACAAAGCTGCTTAAAGTACAGAGGTCAAAAAAACAAAACTGAATCTACATTGTCAAGTTCAAAGAATATTTCTGTTTATATACCTCAAGGTAGTAAATTAGTACCACTACTATCTATATATTTTATACATTAAAGGCATTTTTGTGATATTGATAGTTGTGATGATACATTAAAATACATATCAGATGAAAATATAGATACTGCTTTAAATATAGTGAATTCTGACTTGACAAAAATCATAAATTGGTTAAATGTAAATAAACTAAAATTGAATGCTTCTAAAACAAAATGCATGCTAATAGGAAAATACTTAAATGAACACACTATCACAGTTAGGATAAATGGTAAAATAATTGAAAAAGTTGAATCAATTAAATATTTGTGTGTATAAATATATATACACGAGTATATATATATATACAGGGTGGCCCATCCATGTGTGGTCGGAATATTTCTCATAAATAAATACATTTTGGGGAAATCTATTTATGGCATGTTATATATGACATTTAAGGGCACATTTCAAAAATATTGGCAATTATACCGTGGGTGTCCCAATTTTGACGTACATATCAAAGTTGTGAGTTTTTGAATGGTATACCTCAATTTTTATTGCTTATTTGGATAAAACAATTCAAAAGAAGAAGATTGATATAACATACTATGGGTTTTTGGTAATTAACTACTGAGATGTAAGGTGTTTTGTCCAGAAAAACCGTCCACTTCGGCAATCCCTCAATCCGCCAGTTTGAAATTTGGAGTGCTGAATTTTATACCAAAAAAAATTTATACCTCAGCTTTTATCTTATTTGTTACTTTTTAGAATTTTTATTTTTGCTCGTACAGGGTGGTCAAAAACGCAAATTGTAGTTTTTCTCAAAAATTTCAAATGCATCACCCTGTATATTTGTGTAAGTTTGGACTCAATTTTTAATAAGCTTTTATTTGATGCTAGACACATAAAGGTTTTTACTGTTATTAACAAGTCTTTTATGGAACGGCTTAATTCCCTAAAATATCGATGATCCTTGGAAACAAATAAATTGTTGATTAGTTACAAACTGTCAAAATTAGCTTTGGGAGCATTATAATAAAAACGTGTTTGAAAATGAATTTTTCTAAAGAAGAAATGGTGAATATGGTGTTTGTTTTGGGCTAAGCCCAAAGAAATTGTTTCCTAGCATCTCGCATTTATAAGCAACGGTACCCTAATACCAAATCCAAGGCCGGAAACATTTTCCATACTACGAAATCGTTTTGAATCAAGTGGAGCAGTGGAATATAGAAAAAATTGTATGAATAATCCAAGTGTCACCAATGAGGCGAATCAGTTGGAGGTTCGATTAAAGTTGCAGGAAAATCCATATTTAAGTGCACGGCAAATTGGAGCAGAAACTGTTATATGCAGAACTTCTGTCTAAAGGATTATTCACAAACATAATAGGTACCATCCATATCACCTATGCTTGCATCAAGGCCTTCGTCATCAGGATTTCGCAGCTCGAATGGAGTTTAGTAGAATAATGCTAAATAAAGTGAGTGAAGACACTACTTTCCAAGGATCATCGATATTTTAGGGAATTAAGCCGTTCCATAAAAGACTTGATAATAACAGTAAAAACCTGTATGTGTCTAGTATCAAATAAAAGCTTAGTAAAAATTGAGTCCAAAATTACACAAATATACAGGGTGATGCATTTAAAATTTTTGAGAAAAACTACAATTTGCGTTTTTGACCACCCTGTATGAGCAAAAATTAAAATTCTAAAAAGTAACAAATAAGATAAAAGCTGAGGTAAGTAAGTTTTTTCTGATACAAAATTCAGCACTCCAAATAAATTTCAAAGTGACGGACTGAGGGGTTGCCGAATTGGGGGGTTTTTCTAGACAAAACACCTAATATCTCAGTAGCTAGTTACCAAGACCCCATAGTATGTTATATCAATTTTCTTCTTTTGAATTGGTTGATCCAAATATGCATTAAAATTTGAGGCATTCCATTTGAAAAATCACAACTTTTATATGTAGGTCGAAATTGGGACACCCTGTATAATAACCAATATTTTATAAATGTGCCTTCACATGTCATGTATAACATCCCATTAATAGATTTTCCCAAAATGTGTTTGTTTATGAGTAATATTCCGTCCACACATGAATTTATATATATATATATATATATATATATATAAAGAGAATATGATCATGCGGAGAAAGGTATATAACAACAAGTAGGAAAATAATGGGCAAAATCCGCAAAAAGGAGGAAAGTGGATTGGAGCAGAAAATAGGATAGGTAACCCAAGCGATACGTATTTCTGCTGGTTGGCTTCATCAGGCCCGAAATGGCTATAACCGGCCGCGTGGTGGTGGTTAGACGTCTCCTTGAAAATTCGAGGTCGTATAGCCATTTTATACTATAATATGTAGGTTGGCTCTTGTTGTGGACTTCGTGTGTCGTTTTTTTTTTCCCTCCAACTTCGTTTCCTCAGGTTACACCCGTATCCGGATGTGTGGGCATGTGTATCTACTTTTGTAGGTTCATATGTGCAGTCATTTCGGGCATGATGAAGCCAACCAGCAGAAATACGTATCGCTCGGGTTACCTATCATATTTTCTGCTCGAATCCACTTTCCTCCTATTTGCGGATTTTGCCCATTATTTTCCTACTTGTTGTTTTATATATATATATATATATATATATATATATTGATAGTAAACTAAAGTTTGAGTATCACTATAAAGGTTATTTCAAAGATTGCAAAAAACAAATTACTTTTATATTGCTTCTCATAGTCCTAGTACCTACATAAACATGCCAAAAAGATAGTTTATAATACAATTATTCTACCGCATTAACTATATTGTTCATCTATGTTGTTCACTGCCAATGAAACTGTGTTCTCAAAATTACAAGTCGTACAAAATAAAAATATGAGAATAGTATTAAATAAAAATAAGTACACCAAAATAAAATCTATGTTACAGGAACCGCAGTGGTTGAGTATTAGAAATTTCAAATCATATTTGGTTAATGGCTAAACATACATATAATAAAATAATCATTACCACAATTATTATACAAGAGGAAATACAGATTTCCATTCACAAAACTGCAATAGTAATATGACTGGCCAATCAATATTTCAGATGGGATTACTTGAATTTAATAAACTAAATAATGATATAAAGTCTACTTGTAATTTAAAGAGGTTTCATGAAAATTAAAAGTACATTTCATAGACAGTGAAAATTCTTAGAGATGCAAGTTTTTCTAAATATTTTTATATTGAGTAATTGTTGTAATTTTAAAAGATTGTAATTGTGGCAATCATGCTGAATAGATGTTAATCAAACAAACAAGTAAAATGTAAAGTTTATACGAAATTTCAATATTGCAGAATTCGAATGCTACATTAAGCTAAAAAAAGTACCTGAAAACTGGTTTACTTGTCAGTAGCACAATTTCTGATGTATCCTACAAAATTAAAATCATGTGACTTACGGATTTTCGCACTGACCGATTCAATTTCTTTTTAGATCAGCAACCAAAAGACTTCGTGAACCTCGGCCGCCTGATGGACGCAGTTGGACTATCTGATCCAGACTCAACAGTCGGATCGGAATCCATCCAATTCGTGCCAAGAAGCAGAATGGCAGCCATGCGGAACCGATTCAATATCCCAGAACCTCCAAGAAGGGACCAAAATAACGAGGACCAAGTCGTTGGAGCAACGATGAAAGGTTTGAGACAGGCTCAACAAGCAATGGGAGCCCACAGTCTTACGGATCTGTTGAGAAGGATGAAAGATGGAATACAAGGATTTGTGACGCATGATATACTGGGTGTGAGAGATGCTGTAGAACAAAGGGTTGCAGAAAAAAACGGTTAGTATTTATAACACCAAAAAAAGAAGGTTGAGATCCATGCGTCAGATCATGGTATTGTTAACTATTTTTCGACGCTGAATCCGAATCACGGATGATAAGAGTTTTTAGACGTCTCTAATTCCCACGTGCTCAAAACCTACCCTTAGAACGTGTTAAAATTGAGTTTCGGATGTTAGACGCTAAAGCAGTATTCGCATGTATTTTTCAACGCTGAATCAGAATTTGTGGTCAAAAGGATTCCCACACTTCTGGAGCTTACCATTAAGCTTAAAAGCCTAAGAGTGGTGAAAATTGAATTTTCGATGCCAGATGCTGTAGCATGGTATTCCCATGTATTTGATGTAGCATCTACCACTACACCATCGCCGCTACCTAAATGGGAATACTATGCTTAAGCATCTGGCATCCGAAACCTGTCACACCTCCTAGAGGTATGTTTCTGGGTCCGGGGGTGAACTCTAGTGCTGTAGAGATCTTTCCAACTACAAATTTTGATTCAGCGTTGAATATATATGAATACCATGAACAGACATCTGGCATCCGAAACTCAATTTTGAAAATCGATCATCCGACAATCATTTTTCTCGTTCATTAGGGGTAGTTTTTGGGTCGGGGAGTGAACTCTAGGAATTTTTAACCACAAATTCGTATTCAATGTCGGAAAATACATTGAAATGCCATGTTCTATCAACTGGCATCCGAAACCCAAATGTTTTACCTGCTAGGTGTATGTTTTGGGTCTGGAGATGAGCTCTAGGGTATTAGGAATCTGTTAACCACAAATTCTGATACAGCGTCTGAACATACACGAGAATGCCATGCTCCAGCATCTGACATTATAAACTCAATTGTCATCCCTCCCAGGGGTAGTTTTTGGGTCCGGGGTGTACTCTAGGGGTGTAAGGATCTTTTTAGGTACAAATTCGTATTCAGCGCCGAAAAATACATCAGAATAGCTTGAACAGAAGTCTGGCTTCCAAGACTCAAATTTTACCTCTGGGTGTGATTTTTGGCCCGACTCTAGTAGTGTAGGCGTCTTTTAACAACAAATTATGATTCAGTGTCGAAAATATATGCGAATACCATGCTCCAGCATCTGGCTTCCGAAACTCAATAATTGACACCCTCCCTAGGGGTAGTTTCTGGGTCTGGAGTGAACTCTAGGGGTGTAGGGATCTTTTCAACCACAAATTCGGATTCAGCGTCGAAGAATAGGAATACCATGAACAAACATCTGGCATCCGAAACTCAATTTTCATCCCTCTTAGGGGTATTTTTTGGGTCTGGGGTAGACTCTAGGAGGTGTAGGGGTATCTTTAATCACAAATTTTGATTCAGCACCGACAAAAAAAATTATACCATGAACAAATATCTGGCATCTAAAACGCAATTTTCAGCCTGAAGGTTAACCTCTAGGAGTGTCGGGATCTTTTCGACCACAAATTCTGATTCAGCGTCGAAAAAACACATCAGAATACTATGAACAAACATCTGGCAAACGAAACTCAATTTTCACCCACTAGGGGTGTAGTTTCTCAGCCCGGGGGGTAACCTCTAGGATGTAGGGATCTTTCGACCACAAATTCTTATTCCGCGGCGGAAAATACATGAGAATACTATGCTGCAACATCTGGCACACGAAACTCAATTTTCACGCTTATTAGAGGTAGTTTTTGGATCCGGGGTGAAGTCTAGGGATGTAATATTTTAACCACAAATTTAGATTCAGCATCGTAAAATACATGATAATACCGTGGGCTTGCATCTGACATCCGAAACTCATGGGAATATCATGCTCCAGCATCTGGCATCAGAGACTCAATTTTCACGTCTCTTAGGAGTAGTTTTTGGGCCCGCAGCAGACGCCTAGGAACTTTATAGGAACGTATGTCCTAAGCTAAACGTCTTAACTTTTGAGATACAGGATGGTAGACTTGTGAAAAATAAATAATTTATTTCTCGGGTTAGTGTCATAGTGAAAAAGATTTCATCTACCGAGTTTGAAATTTACTTTTTTCGCGCCATTTTTGTACCCGATTCCAACAATCCGTAAGCACTAACACCCGTTTTCAGCTAATAATCCGCCTTCGACCAGCTCCGGATTAGCTTTTCCTAAGACAGAAGCTCTTACTAAGCACAACAGAAACGAACAAACAGCAAGAAAATCCTCGAGTCCAATAAGAAACGACAAAGATGAAATAGTTGGGAGCGGCCTGCCTCTCGCTCCAGAATTGCTTCATCCATTTATGAACAGCGCCACAACTGATCAAGAAAAGAAGTTTCTCGAAATTTTCCACACTAAAAATCGAGACAGAGCCAATGAGGAACACTTAGGAGATGTGTTGGGTGCTATCAATCCTGTGATGTTCCAGAGAATGTTCCAAGAGAAAGTGAAGATCAATAATACGCCTCATGATGTTTTTCACCATCATCATGATGGACGTTCTCACGGAGAACATCAGGTTAGTTTTGTCATTGCGTTACAGGTTGACCGCTATTGTATTAATTAGGGAAACGTAATTAGCTAACTAGTCAAATCCCATACAGAGCACAATATTTTTCAGAAATATTTCAGAAATCTTACATTGTAATAATCGGAATGTTCCAAAATGCTTAATCCAAAAATATTGCTGCAATATTTCTAATATTTCTATATATATATATACTATATGAATCATATATATAGATATCCTTTAAGGCAAAGTAGTTCAAAATAACACTCTTATAACTGAAACTCTCAAGCTTTCGAAGATCTATGTCTTCATCGTCTGGAGCTGGAAACAATTATTAACAATAGCAACAAATAGCAATTAGGAGAAAAATGTTTACTTACTAAGTCGGCGAGATTGATGCTGAAATTGTTTTTAAAACAACAGTGAAGGGAACACATAGTCGACGAATAAAAAACTGGACTGATGAGGTTCGATTAGGACGGAATTATTTTATTATTAAATGGAAGAATCCTACTCTTCCACCTCTACCACCTCTATCTTTCATAAAAAACGAAAATCCGTCAATATGCAACTGAGAATCCAAATTACCAGTTAACAAAGTTTCACAAATTCCGATATCATACTCCTTGCATTATGAAATTTTTAAATTCGGTAAAATATAAAATAAGCGACCTAACATTAATGTAGCAAAGCTAAACAGCCTCACGCTTTCCGATGGCAACAGAATATACTTATAAAATAAACTACAAAAATAAACAGTAATGCTTCCCTAAGAGAGTTGCATGAAAAATAAGAGAACAAATTTTTCCCAGAACACTACAGAATATAAATAACAACCTTAGGAACATATTTATCATTAAGAACCTAGTAAGTAAGGTATACATTCGTCTAGTTATTAGAACAGACCTATTTTTTGGCTAATGAACATGAGGATGCAAGAAATGATAAGGAATGTAGATACCGAGATAGTCAAAAGAGGATGTTACACGTCGATAAAGCGATGCACTCACTCGCTCAACACACATCCGTCGTAGAAATAATTTTCTTCTGATAGTTGACCAGAGCATATATTTTGCCGTCAAGGCCAGACGAGTCGTCTATATTTCCTGGATGATGCACGAAGTAAATCTAAAGATGCCGGAGTTAGATCTTCACGTAGAGTAAACGAAGAGCTTTTCAGTAGATGCTTTTTGGAAAATACGAGTGCTTTAGTTTTATGAGACAGAAATCTGATAAGAATGGGACGACATTCCTAATCTTTGAACCCACCTAACCTGAAGCACCTCTCAATTTCACTCGAGATAATTTCTATTTTTAGATTGGTCTCAAACCATTTCAGTATCTTTTTCTCTAGGTGTTCTTCCCTAGAGGAGTCAGAGTCTTCCAAACCGTAAAGTATTATGTTATTCAATTTTTGCTGCCGTTCAGTGTCCTCTAGCTTAGTTTCCAGATGAAATTTTTTTTAATAATTTTCCACAACGGCGGTGGTTATTTTTTCATGCTAGATTTGAGCTTTGTAAATCTCTCATCAAGCTGTTTCATCAAGAAAATGGATTGTTGTTTACAAACTATAGTGATTAGCTCTTCATTTATAGTATCGCTAGAAGACAATAGCTGGTCCTTGTCTTGTTTTCGTTGACATTATTATCGATGCGGTAGTCCTTTTGATAGACCAGAATAGATGTTTCTGACAATAATCGATGAAAATGGTGTTATCTCTTAATCAATCCTCTTGGAAATTGTCAATAGTAAAGTATACATAAAAAGCATGCAGCTAGCTTAAAATCAGACAAAAACTAGAGTTTCTGGGAGAAACACATTACTTTTTCACAAACGTCTACTCACTTCGCATGTCACACAGATAAATTAACTTTTTTAGATACCATGCGTAATAAAGAGTTATCGACTGAGCCCAGATTAAAAACTCTCCCTGTAAGCAATTGTGAATTTGATGTTCAGACATCTATTACTTGTATTCTATACCAGGCAGCACAAAGAATACACACTGTTAAAAAAGATGAGAGGACGTTTTTATCACCTTCTGCAGTCCTGCTTGACAAAATGGCTGTGAAGATGCAAAACGCATTCAAATCGTCACAAACACCAATTTTAATCTTATTTTTAGGTTATGGGACCAGACGTGTCAACATCGATGAAAATCCAGGGTTCGTTTTTAAAACCTTTCATGGGACGGCCGAGCAAAAAGAACTTAGAAAAGTTCTTTAGCAAATACTTGAAATCAAGTGAAGACCTATCGCAAGATGATAATGAAATTATAGAAACTGATGAAGATGAATCGAATATTGTGAATATAGCAGAAAATGAACTTCAAGATGCTAATATATTGATTAAGAAATAATATGTATAACTTATTTATTTATTTATTTTTACAATAATTACATTTTGATATGAAAACAACGAGTATGTACATTTTATCTAACAACCAAAACAATATTCCACTACTTGGCTAGTTTTGTCAGTTCCATCACATTTTGAGCTTGCTTCATAGTAGGCATGTCTATCATACTGCCTCTATATGTGAAGGCACCCTGAAAAAAATATATTTTAGCAAAAACCTTTTTTGTCGAAAGCTATCTGACGACAATTAGCTTGATTTTGATCTCCAATGTTGAAAAACAACAGTCCCATTTCTGATATTTTGAGTAATGTACCTTTCCAGACTTTTGGTGTTCTTCAAAAGATTTTAAAAGACCCTCTGCCCATTCCATTTGATCTCTGCTCGGCAAAAATGCTTCTTGAACAACGGGTACTTGCGACGGGTGTATCACCTGTTTGCCAGTAAAGCCCATCTTTCTTCCTTGTTCACATTGATGTCTTAGCCCTTCCAAATCTGAAATTAAACAAATAGAATGCTTCTCCAGCTCTATCAAAGTCAAAAAATATACTTTTCTGAAAAGCATTTTTTTATACCGAAGCAGTCGCGCAGGCAGAATCCTAAATGCCAGGACACTGCGGCTCTTTTGAGGATTCGAAAGAAATTTTGTCAATCCGATATTTGAACTACCTAAGCTTAGCAGATTTTGGAAAAGAATGCTCTAGACAGCATCGATCATAAATAATGTAGTTGGGGAGGCAACACCCTGAACTTGTGAGCAATCCTCTAGGCTAGGTCGTATATCTGGGTCATGCGGAGAAAATTACTTCTTAGCCCCAAACAAATAGCCTAGCCTTTTCCTAGCAGCTGCCGTTATTAACGGTGATCTGGACTCCGATCAGCCGAAATGAACGGCTCTTTGACAGAAGTCGGCCATCCATCAAAACCGGATGAGCGCTAGGACGCTGTTTCTTCGTACTGTGCTTTGGAAGCACCGAACTGTACAAGATTGTTGCGCCCCCAAGTAGTAATAACCCCCTAGTCTTCTTTTTTCCAACTCATCGGCGGAGATCGGCTTGTCGCTCTGAATTCCTGCATGTAGAGTGCTGTCATCAGCAAAGCTGTGGATTGGGTTGATCGTACAGGAAAGGTCGTTAATAGATCACCGGAACAGTGTCGGAGCCAAAACCGATCCTTGGGAAACATGCGTTGACGCTGTGGGATGAAGAGGAGAACCCGCCAATTACGACGGATATCTTGCTGCCGGAGAGAAAGTCACCCACCCATCTGCAAAGCTTAGCTGTGAGGCCAAAAGATGGAAGTTTGCATAAGAGGGCAGCGTGCCACAGCTGCTCGAACGCTTTCGTGATATCGACAGCAACGACACGAGCCTCACGATATGACTGGTTGAGTTGACTCCACAATTGCGTGACGTAAGCTAGGAGGTACTCTGTGGATCGCTGGTGCCGAAAACTATACTGCCTGTCGCTAATCAAGCCGTGACGTTCGAAGTAACATAGTCTAGAAGTTCGCGATTTATGCATCTGTCCATCACTTATAACAGAAAGCAGACCTATAGGTCTGTAGTTGTAAGGGTCAGTCTTAGATCCTTTTTTGGGATGAGTTGGCCATGAGCAAATTTCCAGCTTGCTGGGAAGGTACTAGATGCGTAAGATATATGGAAGAGAGCGATAGAACTGGAGAGAGCTCCCCTGCACACCTCTTCAATACAAGGGCAGGAATCAAGTCCGGACCAGAAGCTTTGTTAATATCGAGCGAGAAGAGCACCCGTCTTACGGTCTTGTGCCTGAATGTTCCTTCCCGCATAGTGTACGTAACCCTTTTAAGCGACGATACTTTGCGTCCGTGTCAGCGAAACAAACATCTCTCCAAGGTAAGGTTGAGAAAAAGTCTCTGAGCTCTTCCCAATCGGCATGTCCGTAATGCCAAATTTTGCGGGCTGGGTCGACCGAAACCTAACTTCCACAACACCGTGGTCCGAGTTACCCAGGGCAGGCAGGATAGCAGTACTGTATGGGACAGGATGCGTAGTCAGAAAGAGATCCAGCAGGCTAGTGTCACGTGACAAAACGCGGGGAAAAAAAGTAGGGCTCGTCACTAGCTGGGTCAGCACTTGGGTAATAGCAAACGCTTTAACTGCACGACCTGTTGCATCGGTCTTGTTTGAGCACAACCAAAGCTCATTATGGGCATTGAAATAACCGGGGAGAACTACCTCAGAAGCGGCGTGATTGATGTCCAGGAAGTCTATGTTGACGGCGAGGTATTCAAGTCATCCCAGTTATGGTCTGACGGAGAGCGATAAGGGCAGCAAATAAATTTGGGGGATGTTTTCCAGTTGAGGCGAAACCCCAGAATGTCCTTCTGGTCTCATTCCAAAGAAACGTATCTGAGGCACGAAAGACTCCCCCGTTCTTTCTCAGATTGGAGTACACCTCGTAATTTGAGTTTACGTCCGGAATTCTTAATATTCGAGATAACCGAATGCGTAGCTTATGTGTGGAGACATGTGAACATTTATAAGAAGAGGCTAACGGGTGGTACCGCCTCGGTCGACTGGGCCTTGTTTACCTTCTTTTTGCGTGTTAATGATGTTTAATAGACCTAAAGTGGCCCGTTGGCGGATTTGTACCGCCACCTGGCAACCGGTACGAAGGTATTCCTCAACGCGTGTACAATCACTTGAACGGGAAGAAGTTGTATACTGATTACATCAACTTCCGGAACAAGGATTTGCGACGGCCCCGCCCGGTAGGGTTAAACTGAAACGAAATAACTTTTGATTCACTCACCATTCTCAAAGATTGTTTTAAATAAATGCAATAGAACAAATAGTTATCTATGAAACCCTTCTTAATAACCAGCTCTAAACGAATGACGGTAAGTATAATATTAACATTATAATTTGTACAAAGCTGAAATTTTGAAGGAAATTCATTGAAATCCCCCTCCCCCCACCAAACACAATTATGCTTTCTTTAAATTCAAAGAAAATGAATTATTGACATGTTATCTCTAGTAGTACCTTTATATTTGATATACACCATGTCTATTGCCTGGAAATGAAATGCTTTTGCATTGACTACTAGTTTTTGTCTAGCATAAGATACTTCTGAACAATCCTCTGTTCTAGTCGCACCTAAAAAAAATTTCCCCAGTTTTAGGAATCGAGGTATAGTTTGACTATAGGTAAATATATGGTATTTGGGTATTCAGTGTTAACTAAGAAAAAATAGCTTGAGTTGTTTATGATATGTAATACATATTTGACAGTGTAGAATATTTTGATTTTGGCACCTTTTAGAGGTACCAGAGGAACATAAGTGGCCAGGGGGTGAAATTTAAACTAAGAAAAAGATAATTTAATTAAAAATAACAAGATTACAGTGCCACCGGTCTTGAAACAAGAGAATCATATCATCTGAGAGCTCACAGATGCTCAGGCTAACAGTTGAATTTGGAAACGAGACATTTTTGATAGTGGGTCACAGCCCTTGCTTTCGTTATTTATAATATTTCTTATTGCAAAGGAATTACAAAAAGTAAAAAGTAGAAAAAGAGTAGAAAAAACAATTGACATAAAAGCTATCAGAGAAGTTATGCCAGAGTAGTGACAAAAATGTACATGATCTCGAAAAAAATAAAGATACATTAATTATTATATTGTAATATAAATATCGGTGTTTTTACCAAAGAAATTCAAACAGATATGCTTTCCTGGGTGAATTCTGATGGAACCACTGGCAAAAGGGTATTTGCTGACACTATGTGAGCAACTGGTTCCACTAGGCCATATCGCGCAAGTTTTAAAGTATTATTTCCTGATTTGTTATGGATTGGCCAAGGTCAAATGGCGAAATTGTCACATTTACACGAAAAATGCAATTTTAACTGCGCCACGTGAGAGTATCACAATGTTCAGTAACCACCAAAACGGGGTATTTATTCAATTATGCAAAATTTCAGTGTCTGATTTCACCAGAATGTTATAATGTGTATCTGGCAAAGAATATTCAACCTTCTTTCATGTACAATCAATCCAAACCACAACTTTGGTGATGACAGCTCTCTACATACAGGAAATCAGATGCGACAAGCCGATCTCTGCTGGTGAGCTGGAAAAAAGAACGCTAATAGCGACTTCCTCTCTGATGAGAGACCTGGATGTTAACGATGTTTATGGACGCAACAATCTTGTACAGTTTAATGCTTCCAAAACACGGTGCTGTACCTTGACGAACAAAAAGCGTCCTAGCGCTCGTCCGGTTTCGATGGAAAGCCTATGCTGGTCGGAGTCCAGATCACCAATGATTTGATCTGGCTCGAGCGCATCTCGTCAATAGCGGCAGCGGCTGGGAAAAAGCTAGGCTATTTGTTTAGGGCTTGGAAGTACTTTTCTCCACATGGCCTCCTCACTCTATACAATGCTCAGATAAGTCCTAGCTCACACGTTTGGGGTGCTGCCGTCCCAACTACATTATCCGTGCTCGATGTTGTCCAGAGGAGGGTTGTCTGACTGATCGATGACCCTTCTCTAATAGACAGTGTTGAACCCTTTCGCAATAACAGGCTTTGCTCCTCAGAGCTCTCCTACAGGATGCGGCCGCGCGATGACCCGCCTGACTTCAACCTCCCATCCTAACTATGTTGAACTTTGTACATCCAGAACTGGCCGATACGACCACTTCTTTGTCCCTTCGGGGTAGTGATTGTGGAACAACCTACAAGAGGAGGCTTTTCCCAGTTATGCTAACCTTAGGCAGTTCAAAAATCGGATTAACCGCTTATTACATCCTGAATCATATGTGATTACATACCAATATTGATATTTTTTTTAATCTCTAGAACTTAAAGAGCGAATAACTGCATAGTGTCTCATTTTTGGGACCGAGGAATAAACACGTTAAAATAACGGCGACGCCGCTCCGACAAAACATACGTCCTTAGAGCAGTTTGTAAGTTGACATTCGCGCGTTTCGTGGTACAGTCAATATCTTCGATTTTATGTCACATTTTTGTTAAATAAAACGTTTGTTTTGGTGATAAAAAAAATAGCTATTCACAGTTTATTTGTTACACTTTCATTTAAAGGTAAGTTTAGGCAATAATTTTTCCAGAGGTTACATACAAAAATTGTTTTAATTCATATATGGGACATCATGCGGTCATAAGTAGTAATAAAGCAGTGAACATGTTACGAATGTACCGGAAAATAAGGAAAGTGATGATCCCGATGACGACGAAGACACAAATAAACCAATAATTCCTAATATGTTAGCATTAGACAGCGACGACAATGGTGAGCCTGAGAAGATTATGGACGAGACAGTCATTTCTGAAAAAGATGTAGAGTCTGATGATAGTGAAAATATGACTATGAATGGAATTGCAGAGAAGAAGAATCCAGGATCCTGGAGAACCGGAAAAGATCCAAAGGATCTAGAATTTACCGGAAATCTGAATATGCTTCCAAAAATTACCAATTCAGAAACGCTATCAGAGTTTTTCAAGTTCTTCTTGACCGAGGAAATTAAATCAGCAATAACTAGGAATAGATCATTTGCCAAAATGGAGAGAAAATGAAAAAAATCGATGCAAACATCCAGACTGCAAATACCAGTCATATATTTATTGTGTAAATTGTCAAATACCACTCTGCCTAAATAAAGACAGAAATTGTTACCTATGATTCCACACCGAATAACTGCATAAGACTGGTTGTTAGTGAATAGTATTTCATATATGATACATACCTTCTTTTTGTAAATTTTTCAATAAAAACTTAATAATTTTTCAATTATTTTTTATCTAACTTGTGCAGATTTATATACATATCTCATATATTTTTCCGATTGAAAAGAAAAAAAAACATAATAAGAAGTTAACAAAGTTTGTTTGGGATCCTCATTTAGACTTCTGCCTGAGCGGCTGATTTGGTGTACAAAAAGGTTCATATATTGTTATACCAATTACATATGCAGAGATTTGTTGAAATATGTAGTGAAAATTGGGAATGGATTATGCCTGGGGGCAGGAGAATATGCATTTTGTTAATTTTCAAGCATATTGTGCTTAAGCCTTAATGGTTCCTATAATTCAATCACATGTTCCAAATGAAGCATAATATGGTTTCCACAATTTGCTTATCATTGGAATCCCAAATACCATAATTTATTCACTCAAATAGTCTAGTCTGTAGTTCTTACCTATATTTGCACAGAAGTCATCACTACCAAATACTAAGCTAGTTGGTACAAGTTTCTTACTATTAGACAGTTCAACAGCATGCTTGCATATCTCACTTAAATTAACAAATGCTAGAGCTGTTTCAATGTAGATTATCAGATTAATTTTCTGAGAGTTCTTCAATAGAACATCAGTTTTATCTGCAAACTATACTGAATCAGTGTGAGAGTTTGACCCAGTTTCAGTAGAATATGCTTCAAGCAACTTTATGCAGTGCTTTTTGTAAAGCTGGCAGTTGGGTAAAGGTGAGATGTCTAACCATATCTGTCAAATATCATTAAGCAGCAGTATAGTCATACCCACACAATATCTTAGGAATGTGTCTGCTAAATTTTACACTATTAAACACAATAGGTCCAATTCTATATCTGAACAACTCAAAATCTTGTTGCTTACCCAATCCAAATCTTCGGTAGTTTCAACCTTTGGCAACAACACAGTGTTTGGAACATTTTTAGCTGATAAACAAGACCTTAGATCTTCTTCACACAAACCAGTATCAATCGAATTCACCCTTATACCTAAATCTCCTTTGATAACATCTGGTTTTAGATCATTAAGAAACTGATTGATTGTTTTCCTTGCATCTTCCTTAACAGAAATCAATATACTTCAATAGAAATACAATTCATTAAAAAATAATGGTTGCAATACCTTTCTGTTAATAGCTACTCCATCTTCACAATCTAACGCAATACAATCAACTTCTAAACTTGTTGCTTTGTTAATTTTCTTTGTATCGTCTCCAGGAACGTACATTAGGGCTCGCCTTGGCGTATACCTTCGTACTGGAAGCTTAAATCGTTTATTAGCCTTCCAGAACTTTGATAAAAACCTACCTTGAACTTTGGAGAAAATATTTTCAAAAATGTTCCTGTACACATCATCTTGTTAGATTATAGCTGCTTTGTTTATGGCCAAAGATACATTCATTAAAACACAAAAATTCTTATATTTGACAGTGCAAAATAAAAAATCCAGCGTTTATTCAAAAAATGTAAACAAGTTTAAAAAATATTAGGAAAATTATAAATGTCATTACTGTCAAAAGGAATGATTCTAATAACTGATCGTCATACGGGTGGACAAGAGAATTGAGTTCTTAAAAAGTAGGCGTGTTATGGATGCCACCACCACTCTACCCTTAATGTGGAAAATGGGCGTGTTTTTAGAAACATTTGTCTAACCACGCTCTTTTTCCTACTTGAACTATGAGAACATGCCTGTAAACCTAGAAAATGGCGGCTATTTATCGCCCGCATGTGAGAGTTGCAAGGTTCTTTTTTTACAGTACTGTAGTAAATTAATTTTCCTTTTGACATGTTTTGTGTTTTCCCTTTTGTCACGTACTGTCATCTTCTTTCAAGTGCCAACCAATCGTTTCCTTATTTATTGAAAATTTGAATAGAATTTAGCGATAACCGTGTGAAAAGTTATATTAAAATTTAGGTGAGGGTACAATAAATGCATTTACATGTTTTCCTGACGATTTGAATGCTCGATATGTCCGAAAATTCCACTTAAATTATTTGAAAACGTCATTGTTGTCATGAGTTCAATGTTCAATGTGTTGAATATACGTCAGATGACTATTAAACGCTCGAAATTTATCTGTACTTAGTTACTTAATTGAATACATATTTCTAATTTAACATTCGTATAAAGAAAGACCCAGAACTTTATGTATAATTTGTAAATTTATATTTCAAGAAAAACATTCTTTTCAGAAATAGAAGATGTTTATTTGGGATTGGTTCACTGGCGTTTTAGGCTATTTAGGTGAGTTTAATTACTTTTTTACGTACTAGTATTTACAAATGGATTATTTGGATCCTACTATTGACAACCAGAAGCTCGAAGGTTGAGCATATTTTTGCACATATCGTTTCTGTAGGAATAAATAAGGAAAGATACACATTTTTGGAATGTATATAAGATTGTCCATCAATAGTTTTGCTTCATATACCTGCATTTTCCAATAATAACGTTTCAGCCTCATCTGAGCTTAATTAATTAACACGAGGCATTTTATCTGTGGATAATATGCTTAATATTCGACCGATCATTACTTTTCTGGTATGGCTAGTTACGACTCTAAACTTTGCTTCTTATAATTTCAGTCTCTTAATATAGTATTAGCAGCACATTCACGATCTTGAAAGAAAATCATCAGCCTTTTGAAAATAATGATATATGACTTCTATCCAACATATGTATCCAAAAATTATATTTTGCATACCAAACATCTTAATAGATTTTGTCACATGAGGTGTTGTTGGATTCATCTTAGCAATGCGAGTAACACTGACTATATTAAAATTTTATAAAAACTTAATGATGGATTTTATTAAAAAAAATTACCCTGGAAATTCCTACAATTAACATTTATTCTTTTCAGTCAGCTTTCTTGTATTTTTAAAAATGTATTTATTATTCTTAGGATTTGATATTACTGCTTTAATGCCTTGAATATTGTAAAAAATTCATAGCAATAATTTCCTAGAAGTTAAGAGGATGCTGACTGGGTCAAAGGTCCCAAAAATTATATGCTCTCTCCGCACATATATGGTTAAAAAAATCTAAAGAGGTCTTGGGCTGACTTTGAGGCAAAAAATGTGATACCTGTCACCAAATTGATGTCAAATTCAGAATTATTTAATTTACCATGGTGATAAGTTTTTGTCTATATGGGTGAATATCAGGTATTTGGGTTTTTAGTGGTACCTAAGAAAAATTACTCATTTCTGTTTCATATTCATTACTCTTAAGATTATACTATTTGTGATGCATCTTTGACAGGACCAGATAGTTTTTTGATTTTTAGAGTTTTTAGAGCTACCAGGGGAAAATGTGTAGTCAGGGGAGTGACACTATACACAGGGTAGTGACAAACTGAGACAGAAGAGTGACAACTTCTCATGTGAATGATCTTTTAGGACACTTTATAAAAGAATATAAGTACCAATAGGTAAATAAGTTATTGAAAATAACAAAATCCTACATGTTCTATTAGTCTCTTAAAAAATAACATTTGGATCAACTGAGTGAACCTTGCTCACACAAGAACTAATATAAATAAAAACCACTATAGCTGTTTATATCTTGCAACTTAATATAGATAGCAATGTAGGTACCTGAGTAATAATAATAATAATAATAGAAATAAAATTATAAAAACTTAGAACAAAAAATTGACATAATACTTATGGTCAGTCTTTGAATCGCAATCAGTGCTTATAAATAAAAAATGGTAGCTAGCATAAAAATAAAATTAACATAGGTATAACCCGATTTTTTATGAATTTGAGTAGATACTCATTTTTCGAATACAGGTATAGGAGTGTGAATTTATAAAATAATCTATTTCCTCTCATTACTATATTTGGCACCGGCAGTCTTTCTAATACTTTTCCAAATTTATGTCGGAAATGTCATGCGATAGATAGTAATTTAGCATTGCTTGAAAACGCATAAAGCCTATAATTTTCGTTCTTCTTAAAGAGAGCAAAATCAACTCCATATTTGCATGAATTACACACAAGCATGTGTCTCTTCTATGAACGTTTGGATATACAATCCAAAAAGGTCTCAAACGTCAAAATGAAGTATAACTTATCGGCACTCCTTTGTTTTTAACGAACCGTTCGTGTAAATGCTTCATTGAGTCTAGTAAAACCCTCTTTTGTTTTTTACTTTGCTTTTCGTAATGTAGTCATTTTTTCCTGAGCATAAGCGACTGTTGCAGTCTCCTTCAAAAAAAAATTTAATTACGTTCTTTATCTTCTCTCTAGTTTCATTCATTCTTGTTCTCCTTGTCACGTCTATCAAACCTCTCCCACAGTGGGTTATCGTTTCACAGGCTTCATATCAATTTGACTTAAAACATTGTACTTTCTAACAAACCTACCACTCAATACTTTACATGTCTTCTCATTTTTATTTTTGGTATGCTTTATATTTTCTTTTAGTTGATTTTGAACTACCTCACTGAATAACAGCTGCTTTTTAACTTCTACGTTCCCCTGCTTACTTGGTTTCGTTTTTTTTTTTTAGTAATCGGTCCACTTTCGATTTTGGTGACATTTTTAGACTTCTTATGTGATCTAGTTTCCTTTGAAATCTCTTCACCTTGTTTTTTAATCGATCAATTCCTTTTTTTGTTTTTTGATAAGCTCATTTATCCGTTTCCTCTGTTTTTCTGAGGGTCTATTGGTACCTGAAGCTCTATTGTCCAATGTTTGAGGATCGAAGTGTGGATCTTCATGGTCCGAAGGCGGCGGTGACTCTGGATAATTAACAATAGTTTTTTGCCTCACACGATCCCTATATCTTTCAGTTTGCTCTCTCCATATCTTTCTCATAGCTCCCTGTTCCCTATCTGTCAGATCTTTTATACTTCTAACTTGTACTTTCTCCTTCTTTCTATGATACTTCTCTTTTTCTTTTTCTTTTAACTCAGCATTCTTGATTGGATCATTTTTAATTCGCTGGTCGCGTGGTCTTTCTGCTTGGCGTTTTTTCTCCAATCTTTACTCTGGGGTTTGCTTTTTTATAATTTTGCCATTTTAGCGAGTTATGTTTTTTTTGGTACCTGAAATTAATGAAATAGTGTCTATACCACATTCAACTTCAAGAGCAGGAAGCAGGCCGCTCAGAGCCCTAAACTGGGCCAGGCAACTTCTTAGGTGCAGCCCGCTGATTGATGTAACAGATTGGTATGAACACTGACAATGAACGTTTGATCACTGAATACGGCCCTAGGCGTCTGGCCGTGTCTGGCCCGGCCCCTCATGCCTGACCTATTTCAGATCTACTGCCTCTTGAAGTTGAATTTGGTATAGTAGCTACACATCTTAAGCCCCCCATTCATTAGTGGATTGGTGTGACGGATTGGTTCGTCCTGACTTGTCCGCCGACCGATCCGCCAATATATGGTATCGAAAGACATGTCGCACAGCGGTCCGGGTCGGGTTGTGAGTTCGCTTGTTTGAATACCGAACCTACGACCCGACCGCGACCAATCCGTGCTGTTTTTACAATGTGTGTGTAACTTGTCAAGACTTGTCCGGCGACGAAAGAGTTCTTCCGAGATCAACGAAAGTATCAAGGCATTTTTTGAAGGGAATTCAAATTAAAATGTCTTTTGAAGATAATAAATCTTTCTGGGAGGAATTTATCCAACTTTACCAGGAAAATCCTTGTCTTTGGGACATCAAGTGTAAGGATTACCGCAACAAACAGAAAAAAAATGCTGCGTATGAGAATTTAATTAACAAAAGCAAAGAAATGTTTCCAGATGCCAACAAGAAATTTGTTATCAAAAAATATCGTCCTTACGGTCATCTTTCCGACGCCAGATAAGGCGAATTAATAGTTCAAAGAGAAGTGGGGTAGGAACAGAAGATGTACCAGAACCTACATTGTGGTATTTTGATCTATTGTCTTTCCTGATGGATCAAGAAGAGTCTCGTGCAGCGGTTTCTTCGATAGAAGGAAATAACCTAGATGACCAATCACAGGCCTCAGTAAGTAGATATTTTAACTAACAAATAATCTAAAAAGACAATATTTATAATAATTCAGATATTTTATTTCAACACATATACTATACATCTTAAACTTAATATACAAATTTGTGTTGAAAGTCAACTTCACCTGCATTATTATAATATTCTTTATATCCATTTCGTATCATCTTTGCGTCAATAGTCGGAGATCCCTGTCTGGACACATCTAATGATATTAGTTCTCCATTCATGTGCATATCACCTATCAATACAGTCCCTGAGATAATGTCTTCAGTATCGATGTTACTAGGTTGTATGTAAGAAGTGCTTTTGCGGCGTAAAAAGTTGTGTAATACACAGCATGCCATAACATTATCATCAACTGTATCCACTTTAGTAGCTATTGGCGTTAGGAAAATCCTGAATCTATTTGCCATGATCCCGAATGCGTTTTCTACTACGCGCCTGGCACGGCAAAGTCGATAGTTGAAACATTTTTCTTCATAACCAATACTGTTGGTTTGTCTCTATGGCGTCATGAAATTTGTCATTAGACTAAAGGCTTCGTCCCCAATAAACACAAAGGGTAATTTATTTTGAATTCCTCGCATATTGACTGGTTGGGGTAATTTTAAAGAATCTGTTATCAGTAAATTGTAAAAATCTGTTTTCTTAATGACCCCCCCGTCTGATATTCTTCCATTAGTTCCACAACTTACATAAGTAAATTCATAATTAGCATTTACTATAGCAAACAACACAACACTGAAAAATCCTTTATAGTTATAATAGTATGAACCACTTCCTGGGGGCTGTTTGATAGCTATGTGTTTGCCGTCTACGGCTCCTAAGCAATTTTCAAATTGCCACATATTGTTAAATCCTTCTGCTACTTTGAGCCATTCCTCTTCTTTTGATGGAAACTGAAACCAAAAATAACACAGCTATCATATGAGGCAAAGTTAACTGTGAGCTATTTTATTGCAGGAAACCGATGCATACACACAACATTCTGATCAAGATTTAGATTCATCATCAGTTTTATCGCCTGAAGCTCCTCAAAGTGCAACACCAAGTTCCCGTAACAAGCGAACTCTCAACTGCACAACTTGGACACAGAAGAAAAATAAATTTTTGGATGCTTCCATAAAAGTATTGGAAACTAAGCAACAGGATGTTCTTGAACCACAAGAAATAACATTTGGCAAAAATACTGGTCAACAATTACAGGATATTGCAGTTGGACAGAAGATAATAGCCCAAAAACTGATTTCGGATGTGCTATACCATGCAAAATTGGGAAATCTCACACATTCTTCTCATATTTCCCTGGGTTACCAACCACCATCATATCAAAGTGCCCCATGCGTTCCGCAAGCACAAATATTTCAAAACTCATGCTTCAGGTATACAACATCCATTAACCCAACCTTTAATGAACCCAGCACGTCATATACACGTCAACCAGATGTACCAACTTTTACCACTTTGACAACTCCAAATCAGGCGTCTGCAAATAGGGAAGTGATGGAAGAATTTTTAGTTTTTCCCAGGCAAAATAATTAAGAAGTGATAAGGTACTACGAGTATTACAGACTGATTCACATATCTTTAATTGTTAGACATAATTTGAAATAATAAAAGTTTTTTCAACACTCTGTTTCTTATATGCATCAGAATACATGAAAAAAATAATTATTGTACTTACACATAAGTATTTCTTCCGGAGGCAGTTGTATATAGCACGACACGTTTCTGGAATTATTCTTCCAAGTAACTGAGGAGAAATTATACAAGAAAACTTTAAGTCTTCATAACTCCTTCCAGTTGCCAGAAACCTCAAGGTGGCCAACAGACGTTCTTCAACGCTTACTGCTTCTCTGAATAGTGTTCTTCTTTTCTATCAGAGGTTTTACTAGCATTAATAATTCTTGGAATGCGTCATAGTCCATTCTGAGGTAATTTATAACATCAAGTGGTTCACATGATTGGATACATTTCAATAATCGCAAATGAGTAAATTGTTCTCTCTTTTGCAGCCATTCTTTCACCCAAACACGTTTTTTCTTTTTTTCTGATTCTAATAATATTATTGTACCTTCAGCCAAAGCAACTTTCGCCTTTTTTGATAATATCGGAGACATTATGCTATTGGGTTCGCCACATTCAGTGTACAAATGAGCTCTTTTGCAGGGTTCGTGTAATTTCCGTCTAATGTATTGACAAACGTGGATGAGTCGTCAGTCGGGTCCCGGTTGCCGTCCGAGTTCAGGTCCGTCTAGTGAATGGCCCGCATTATAGAAAAAGGTGCCTTTGTATTTCCCCTGGGCAGTGTGTATTTCCCCTGACATAAAAAATGCCAGGGAAGTGACAAAAACGTGCGTAAGCCCCAAAAAAGCAAGATATGTTGATTATTATATTATTTTAACATGATTCGTGGCTTTTGTATTAAAAAATCTTAATTTTTTATAAAGTCGCAAAAATGTAACTTTTAAATTCACAAAGATATGCTTACTAGGGGAAATGCTTCACTCACTGGCAAAAGGGTATCGGACGACTGTTAGTGGGCTACTGACGCGTCCCTGGTCTTCGTTTTCCAAATTACGATAGTTTCGCACTATTCCTTCTTCATTTGCTACTTGCTGCTCAAGGTAAAGTCGCATACTTGCCATATTTTGATGAATATATGCAATTTGAATTGCGCCAGGTGAGGGTGACACTGTTCTCAGGAACCACTAATAAACGGGATTTTTTACGCATTTATGTATATTTTTAGTGTGCCTTTTTGCGAAAATATGTTATCAGATGTATTAGGTAATACAAAGAGTATCCGCTTATTGTTATACCAGTACATAATACAGAGATTTGTTGATGTTTGAAGTGAAATTTGGGAATGGAACATGCCAGGGGAGTATACATTTTGTTAACTTTCAATCAGATTTTTCCTAAATCTTAATGGTTACCTCAATTGCGCCATATGTTCCAAATAAAGATTGACATCTTCCACTATTTGAATGGTCTATTTCCACAATTTGTCCATTGGATTAAGATTTTTTTGCAGGAACATTGAATTCCCCAATAACTGATATTCACCCATATCACAGGAGGGAAGAGGGTTTTTAAAAGTTTCTTGTTGGAAAGTTTTGAATATGGTAATTATTATAGTTATTATCAGAAAATAAAATTTGTTACACATTGGTTTCAAAGTGCTAATTTGAGTATGGCCATCAAAAAATTCTCAAGTGATGTAGCTAAGATTGAGTTTTCCTCCAAACTACAGATGTATAAGAGTTTTTCAGTTTTCTCAGGAAAGCATGAAATATGAGACTTTTGGGGGCAACATTTTTATCTTAGTCACTTATTGTTGCAAGCCAAAAAATTTGGAATAAACAGTTATTTTTGGAGGTTGAATCCAAATCTTCTGAGTGTCATGGAACTTAATTCAGGGGCAGAGAATGAGTTGCCTGGGACCACTCATGAATCCTAAGACAAATTGACGTAAGATTCGCAATCTGTATACTCAATTTATCCAGGTGATAAGTTTGTTTCAGTTTCGTACACAAGAAACAGATTACTGACATACTTGACATTGTTCTTGTGAAATTAAATTAATTTTGCGTGAAAACTTTTATGAGCAACTGTTACAGACTGAAAAATACTGTAATAATTCAAATTAGTGGAACGACCAATGGTAAATAGACCCATACAAAATACCATGTTAGAGTATACTGTACAGAATATGGCATACCCTGTAACTCTCTTTAACCACTTGACAAAATATAAACAAGGCAGATGCCTGATGTTCTCTAAACAGACCATTGTCATTAATATTTATTACTTCATCATAGTCAAAAGGGCTGGTAACACAGTCATTATCTATTGATAATTCGAAGCATGTTCTGATATCAAAATACATGATTTTCTGGTCCAATTTCCGTTATCTATGTATAAACAAACGCTAACAATGCTGGCATGTTCCGCGCGTGCGATTTCGCAAGTCAGAACATCAATCGTCTGCTTGCGTTTCTCTCATTCCTATCTTTATCATAAAGTGTAAAAATAAATATGAATGTTGCTCAAAATTAATGCCTTCACATCTGTTTCAAATCCAATTATTATTATAGTTTGAGAGCTCATTTAAAAAAGCGAGAATCGAGAACTCTTTCAAACTCAAAAGATGCTGTCAAGTAGATTGATTCTATACTCCATATGGCTTCGTTGAAGGTTTCAAAGAAAAGGGATGAGACAAATCGTTTCAAAAGGCGAAATCTAAATCTTCAACCTCTGGATATCAACCTGTATAGTCTATCATATTTATGTTTTCAAGACAGATGTAGGGAAAATATGTGTGACTTATTATGTCTAACAGGTGCAGAGTATCACTGAGATCCGCAGCTTCTTAATAATAGAAGTCCTTTCACTGACACTAAATATGCAACCATTCACCGCACACAGCTGCCAACTTACAAATTTTATCCCCTCCAAAGCATGTCTGAAACGTTGTAATACCATGTGCCAGCGATTCTATTTCCGCCGCCTCTTAATCAATTCCAAAATCTACGACTACCTAAACGATGGAAGTATTAAACTCGCGATAATATTTGAACTTCGGTTCACAAGTTTTCTGTTGCTTAAAGATATCTGCTTCTAACAAGCCCGTGTTCCTTAATTATGTCGGTTTCTCAGTCAACGTCTGTTGTATATCAACGCGACATAAGTACTAAGTCAGTCGATCTACTTGACGAAATATTCAGAGAACCATCATAGACAGACTAACACAAGTTAAAAGTTAGGCGAAATGGGTGATGCATTTAAGGAACATTAAATTCAGAAAAATATATGTGTAGATACAAAAACAATCAAGTCATCATTTACAGAAGCATCGAAGAACGTTGAAATGGAATGTACTTCCAATAACCAAATATTGCTAAAATATATAAGTATTTCTCCTTTAGCAGTGTGTCAGTGACGACACCACCGCAGACTAGTTGGAGTTTGTTACCCATTGCACAGTCGGAAGTGGCCTTCACGACGATGCAGCATCGCGTCATGCACGCCTTGCCAACGACTGCCAAGTTACTTCGATATATGAGCACACTTACATCGGACTTTTGTCATTTAATTTCCCCGTAGTTACCGAGATCAGAAGCTTCTTAGTAATAGAACGTCTTTGACTAATACTAAAGACAACCAGCTACGACCTCTAACTCTTTCAAGCCGTACAAAAAATGTTCCAAAAATGATCGGGAGCCTTTGAAAGGTCAAAAAACGAAGAATAGGCGATGTTTTTGCCCCTAGCTCCTCCATCACTAGACCGATTTTCATAAACTACAAAGCTTTTTTATCTTTGGCATATAGTAGTAATTATAACCTCGTGTGAAAATTTCATCAAAATCCGAGTGGTACTTCTCAACGGAAATGAGTGGTATGGTTTTTCGTGATGTGGGTCATATAATAATAATAATTAACGTCTTTTATTTGTAATATTCTTACAGGAGGCGAGATTTAGATTATATATCTATTCTACCATCATATAACATACAAAAAACATATCTCAATTTTGCGATTACAATACTTCTTCGCCAGTTTGCCATAGAAAGTAAAAGCATGTTTTGATGTTGGTGAAGTATTTTGGATACTGTAGTGTTGAAACTAACATGATTAACGTATTCTACCAAAAGATACCCAATTACCCATAATGTGGCACCTCTAACCTCTTATGCTTGCAGCTGTGTATACGTGTCGACCACCTTTCTCGAAAACTCTGAGAATACAAAATCTTAGGAATAACTACAAGGCAGGTTCAAAATGGCACTTTTCATGCATATAGCATATAAGATCTAGCAGCAAGGTTTAGATTTATTGTAATTAGATTTAGGATTTAACTAAATAATTTGTTTTTCGCGAACTGCTGCAATGCCAGTAGTTATTGTTGTTGTAAATTATGACTTCTAAAGGACAATTGTCACAAATGAATTGTTTTTTGCTTCTATTGAAAAATTGTATTTAGTTGTTTAAATTTGATAGGACTGACCAGGAAAAAAGGCAGATATGTATTTCTAGGACTATCAAACTCTGGCAAAGCCACCTTAATCCACGAACTATTACAACAAGAAGAGATAGACTGCATCCCATATTCTCCTAACGTAGCTCCTCAATCTGATGAACCAAATGGTAAGTGTGACGTATATGACCTACTAACTTGTGTTTGCATGTGTTCACAGGCTTATGGAAGAAGTCTGGCAAGCTGCTCTTCCTAGGGCTGGACAATGCTGGAAAGACAACACTGTTGCACATGCTCAAGGACGACAGGCTAGCTCAGCATCTTCCCACTTTACATCCTAGTAAGCATTCTCTTCCATTTTCTTCTCAAGGTGCACGACCACTGAGGGAAAGAGAAAAGAATCGACATTCTTCTGCTAAGTTTCTAATACAAAAGTCGCCACGGTCTCTTCGCCTCAGGAGGCGTGCAGGTTTAGAGTATTTCTGATTCTAATTGAAACTGGCATAAAAGCCAAGGCCATTAGAAATACTGGGAAAATTGTATTCATAAAAGGTCTGTTGCAAAGTAAACAGGACTTTTGAAAGATATCCGATACAATTAGCTCCATATATTATTTTAGACTAGCGTTGGATATCATCATCATCATTTGTGCCCTGTCAAAATTTCATGACAATCGAACCACTTCACGGGGAGTTATCACGCTCAAAGTGACGGCTTTTAGCGTCGGTCGAAAAATGAGCATCGAAGAAAGAGCCAATATTAAGTTATGTGTTGAACTTGGTAAAACATTTACCGAAACGCATCAGATGTTGATGCAAGTGTGTGGTGATGATTGTTTATCTGGTAGCTGAGTCCACGGGTGGTTCACAGGGTTCAAAGAGGGTCGTCGAAAAAGTGCGTGAATTTATCAAAAATGATCCAAAATCTTTATTGAGATACGTAGAAATGGAATTAAATATCTCTAAAGATTCAATCCATCGCATTTTGACCAAGAACTTGGGCATGAGAAAGGTGTGTTCACGCGCGGTATATTCCGTACAAACTCACGGATGACCAAATATTGCTTCGAATTTAACATTCGAGAAACATTATTAAAGAGGCCAAAAAAGAAAAAATTTCTGTACAACATTGTGTCTGGTGACGAAACGTGGTGTTTTCAACACGATCCCGAATCCAACAGTAAAAGTGCCGAATGGAAGCACCCGAGCGAGCCAAATCCGAAAAAAGTCGTTTGGAAAAGTCCAAAGTGAAGACAATGTTGATTTCTTCCTACGATTCGAAGGGAATTATTGACCAAGTATTCGTTCCACCGGCCCAAACGATTAATGCTGTTTTTTATCTAGGTGTTATGAGACGTCGTATTCGGCCAGCATATCGCTTGTTGCACGATAATGAACCATCTCATCGATGCACGCTTGTGTCCGATTTGTTGACAAAAATGGCATTTTAACCGTCAACTGCTCCCCATATTTTCCTGATATGCTACTGTGTGACTATTTTCTGTTCGGTAAACTACATTTGGCCATGGAAGGACAGCGGTATGCCGACGTAGATGCCATCCAAAAGGCGCCAACGACCATTTTGAAAGAGAAATACCGTGGGGCTATAGGGGGATGCACATGGGGGGAAACGGGGAGGGTGGAGACGGACTCTAGCGAGGAAACACGTGTGTATGCATCATGTACACATTCGGGCCCGCCTACGAGATCCGCCAGGTAGTACCTCTGCGTACCAGAGTCCGTGAAAATCGCTGTATTAACTCTGAAGGAGACTATTTTGAATAAAATAAATTCGATTTTCCGAAACAAAAACTGTTTGTTCATTTTTTTCTTTGTTCTGTTTACTTTGCCGCAGACCTTGTAGATGGTGCGACAGCATAAGACCCGCTCGTTCGTGCTTGCCAGGTTTTGTCTAAAAACGCTATTGTGGACCAACTGTATCGCAAACCTGATTGCAGTAATGACGTGAAACATTTAAAAAGGGTAAATCTTATCAGTATACAATATGACGCTCATGATAGAGTTCCATTCGTGAGTTGATAGTTATCATCCAAGTTTTAATCTGTATAAATAATAAGGCCAACGTTTTTTTTTTGTACTTCAATTAGGAATAGAAATACAATACGCATTCTTAACACACCCTTTTTCAAAGCACACTAAATCAGCTCACTCACTATATGGCAGACAGATAAGTGCAAAAAGCCTTAGGACATAATCTAGCAAGGTTTTCGATCTCTATGAAGTATTTTCAGATCAGAAGTTTTTTCTTCATTTGAAAAGAGACGCATGAGCTTATTTATTTGTTTTGCTCATTTCTAATTTGTAATAAATGTAAAAAAATGCAAAATATATGAACTTTATTTTTATTGCTACAATCAGCCATCAGCCAAAAATATTAAACAGCCAGTGCTTCTTATCTAACACTCCATCAAAGTAGAATGATAAATAATCTCTGTTGTATTAACAAACAAACCTAACTCATGATGGTTTGAGATCAAAGTAAATCACAGAGTAAAAAACTATCCTTTTCTACTTCACATAAAACAAGCTTTAAGTTAAATCACTCAATTAGTAAAAATGCAAATGGCGTAATTATGTTTATGAATGCGAGTTTTTCTACATTTGACGCTCATGGAGTTTCTTTCATGTATAAGGGTGAATTTTCTAACTGTTCCAGTTAGGAATAGAAGTACAATGAATTCCTATCACACTGTTTTTCAAGTCACATTTTGTTGTCCATTTCAGAAGAGACACATGAGCTTATACAAATAGGTAATTGACAAATGACATGGCAAATCCCAGTGAAAAAAAAATTAATCGATAAACTGGCTCCAAAAAGTATGATAAACATTGACAAGGCAGTTTGAAACAGCGTTATGAAACTTTATTAGCCTTGACTAGAACTAACTTCACTAATGGAAAATCCTTTTATTAAATTAATGTGATCATATGGTCAAAATTGGTGCAATAAAAATCATTTTATCATTTCTTTTCAGCATCTGAGGAGCTTTCAATTGGCAGCATGCGATTTACTACTTTTGACCTCGGAGGTCACTCACAAGGTAAGTCACCCAGACCCAATAGCCCAGGTTCATTTACGACACTAAAATAGCCGTTTTACATTGACAATAAATCTATGGACTTCTTTGTGGCCAAATTTCAAAAGTGTAAAACAGGAATTTGACGTAAAATAAATCACTGGTGTTAAGTTAGCAGCCAATTCTTCTAGGAATAAGTGTAAACTTAGCAGCCATTTTTTTCAACATACCGCACCATACCACCCTCAGGACAAATAATATTTAAAAATGTTTTTTGCATTTTTTCTATTCAGAAAAGTTTCTGATGGGGTGAAATGGAAAGAAAGTGTTCATTTTGTTAGAAGCTGTAATGCCACATAGGTCTCATCTTCTAACCCGCCGAAGGGGTTGATTTCACCACTTGAACGCGAGAATATGCAGTTTTTGTAACTATGGCCTAGCCAGAAAAGTTGCTACAGGGTAAAAAAAGTGTTCCTTTGATTAGTGGTTATAACACCACATAGGTCTCATCTTCTTCGGACCCATCGAAGGGGTTGATTTCAGTCCTTAAACGTGAGAAAATGCAGTTTTGTGCATTTGTCACCTAGCCAGAAAAGTTGCTACAGGCTAAACATGGAAAGAAAGAGTTCCTTTTATTAGTAACTATAAGGCCACTTAGGTCTCATCTTGTTTGAACTCATCGAAGACACTATTTTTCCAAGTTTATCGTGTTGCAACTTTTCTGGCTAGGGCAAAATAATACAAAAAATGCAGTTTCTTATGATCAAGGAGTTAAATCGACCCCTTCGTCGGGTCAGAAGAAGATGATATCTATGTACATGGCCTTGAAGCTACTGAAGGAACCAACACTTTTCACCCTTAATTAGGCTGTCACATATGGTGTTGCTAATATCTGTTAGAAATATGAGGGAATTATCAAAAGGTCCATGTTTGGCATAGGAAAAAATGGCAGCTGAAAAGTGACTGCTAACTTGACACTTCTTGCAAACTTCACACCGGTAAATAAATCCATGAAGTTATTCGCGGATTTTTTCAGGAAATTAGAACTTGTTCTAATTTTAGCCAAGTTGGACGTCAAATTCTATGGTGCCAACTTTCCATTATATTGAATAACTTCTCAATTCAAGTAAAGAACTTTAATAGAGCTACAGTATTCAACAATATGGTTTCTGTTTATGAGGTTGGCCATTTGAAATTGACATTTTTCTTAGCCTTAATTTCCGGCAAACCTCGCATTAACACAGATTATTGTAAGCAAAATTAAAAATCCTGCAACTAAAATTTGGTGGATTTTGTACGTGAACAAAGTGAGGATAAATGTCACTCAGCTGTGGTAAGTTCAACTAGGTTTTGGTAAAAAGAAAAATATCTGTGGTTTTGCGTGAAACGAACGCAACTTTTTTGTGATATATTTTTTCTTTTACAGCTAGGAGAGTGTGGAAGGACTACTTCCCAGCAGTAGATGCAATTGTGTTTCTCATAGACGCCAATGACAGATCGAGATTTGCAGAAAGTAAACAGGAGTTGGACTCTTTGCTGACGGACGAGACTTTATCCAACTGTCCAGTACTTATTCTAGGCAACAAGATAGATCTGCCAGGCGCAGCTTCAGAGGATGAGTTGAGGAATTATTATGCTCTCTATGGGCAAACGACTGGCAAGGTTAGTATCCAAAGTGTGTACCAAAGGAGATTTAAAATCGGTTTCTGTGGTACCCCTCGCCGTTTCTTCTCTCGCAGACAATGCGTGAATACCGGTTTTCTTGTATAAATATTTCGAGTCTTTTTACTTGGCCCACTATAACTTGGAAAGTTCTGGTCGGATTTTGCTGAATTTTCGACACATGGTTGTTTTTTTTTTAATAAACTGGTCTAGTAGCGGCGGCGCTAAGAGCAAATGGATTATAGTTTTAAAAAACACGCTTTAATAGCAAATCGAACTAAAAAGTAGAAAATAGTTTTCAAGTATAGGAGCGTTTGTGATACTGCAATAGAACGTCCAACAATCAAGTATGACTGATTAATTTGGGATAAGGTCAATGTAAAAATTAAGACAGTGACAAATTGAAATATACCTAATAAAAAGTGTGGAGTGCTTCATTTTAAATGTTAGAATTACTTTTTAATTTGGTATTTACAAAATTGGATTTACGAAAATATAGTTAATTGCGCCCCGCTTTTACACTATATTTAAATTAAAGTTTTGTTAATATCTTAATTTTCATATTGACCTTATTCCAAATTAATAAGTCATACTTGATGGTTGGACTTTGGATTGATTATTGAAAATTATTTTCGACTTGTTAGTTCATTTTTTCGTTATTTAACTATAATTTTTTCATATTTTCAGTTATTTCCAAATTGAAAATTCTTTTTTTCAAAATTCTCGATAAAACGTTTCCCAAGTCTTAAATCCAAATTTCTTTCCAAGTTTAAATATTTAACAAATTTCCGAATTGTCATAATTTTCAAATATAACTAGTTTTCTCAATTTCAAAATACAATTTTCTTAAAAATTTTCAAATTTCAAGAGGTTTCATTAACTTGAAAATTTGCACAGGCGTTAGGAGCTGATGGTAATACAGTAATATTGGAAACAAATTAATGTTTTTTAAAATTGAATTTCGAAATTTGGAAAAAGATTCGAAAACTTTGGGAAAAATTGGACTTAGAAATTAAACAAAAAATGGTTACTTTGTAAAAAACTGGAAATTTGATGAAATTTGGAATGGAATATACCAAAAATCGAAGCTCTTGATTATAAATACAGTAGAAATCGTTTAGTACGACAACGCTTATAACCTATCGGATTATACGACGAAGTTTGCATTTAACGGCGAAACTATATTCATTCCTGTATACGTAGTCATGCCATAAGTTCTGTCCCTCGTTTTCAAACAAGTGTAGACCTGTTAATACTTGTCCGATTGTTTACATTGTGGTGTCAGTTGATTAAGCGCTTTTCGGGTAATTACATATACCCAGTGGCGGCTCGTGCCAATTCAGTGAGGTAGTGCCAGAATGGAAGCCATAATTTTGAATCGATTCAAAATTGTAAAGAATAACTTATAACTTACCCCTGATAGTTAGTGGTCAAAGTTCTTGAGGTTCAATAAATCTATATGTCCAAAAAAAAATCAAAAATAAAACTATTTACACACGCGCACCAAATTATAAAACAAGTGTGGAGAAGTACCTATAACTTCAAAGTTTTCTATACATGAAGTCCATTCTTCTTTCTTTTTTGGTAGCAAAGTTTTCGATTACCTTATTATTAAAATTTTCAATGCCACTAACAAAATGTTTTTCTGCAGACAGCAGCCTTTCTTCCTTCATTGTGTTTCTGAGGAAAGTTTTAATCCGTTTCAGCATTGAAAAAGAGCGTTCTGCTTCAGATGTTGACATCGGTATAGTGATTAAAATACTTAAGAGCTTAAGAGTTTCTTGAAACGTACAATTTAATCCTTCCTCGTTCAATAAAATGGATAGTGGAACAGCTCCAGAAGTAGTACTCAATTCTTCTCTCTGATATAATACTTGTAACTCAGTTTTAAGCCTGTTTTTGTCTAAAAATGAAAATTGTGTGCATGTGTCATTTAAATGTGCTTCAGGAAACTGATGTTTATAAACAGAAAACTTTTCAGACACAAATAAATTAGAAGCAACTAAATGCCCAGAAAAGTTAAATCTTGTTCTTATTTGCGATAATACTGCATCGCATATTTCTAACGCTTCCCGTTTTTTGCTGCCTTCTTCAACTTGCCTTTTTTTTCTTGCCGGTTCATCAGTTTCTCTCTGCACTCGTTCAATCTCGTCAATAATGCTATCCATTTGTTCTCGTATAGTTTGAATTGCTGCTTCAAAATTCTCTAAATCATTTTTGACCTTAACAGAATCGGTGCATACTTTTTGTAATTGGTTAAAGACAATTTCAACATGTGGCATTATTTTATGGAATATACTTAGCCAAAATACAAAATTTGTATCTTGCAGCTTTAATTTGTACCCACTGGCTTGATTAATCGACGAAGAATCGCGTGAAGTACTTTCTATATTGTCCATAACTTCAATCAGGTCTTTCCTATTTTCATAAACTGTATGAACACCTCGTGACTGAAAATTCCAACGTGTTTGGGAAGATCTTGGCAATCTGCGATTAACTATTTCATCCAAAATTTTTGTTCTTTGAGGAGACGTCGAAAAAAAAGAGCACAATCCAGATAAATTATGGAAAAATATTCTAGCCTGCTTATTGACAGAGCATGCGCTTGTCATAATTAGATTTAACTGGTGTGCATAGCAATGAACATAATTTGCAAGTGGATAAGTTTCCTTAATAATCTTTTGAACGCCATTCAATTCACCACTCATAACAGACGCACCATCATAGCTTTGAGCTATTAATTTGTTTGGATTTTGATCTATTAATGGATTTACAACATTTAAAACGCATGCAGCGATTGATTTGGCATCGTGTCCGTCGGGGACGTAAAATCTCCAAAATCTCTCAACTGGTTGTCCTTTACACAAATATCTGAAAATAATAACTAACTGAAATTCACAGGCTACGTCAGTCGTTTCATCGGCAATTACTGCAACAAAAGGAGAATTTGCAATCTCCTTCTTAACTTCTTCATGATAAACATCTAGCATGCACTCAAGAAGCTCGTTTTGAGTTGTTTTTGAGGTACCCTTGAAAAGTTTGGCACTTTGAATATGGACTTTCAATTCGTTGTCTAATTCGGCGCTAAAATTCACCAGCTCCTTAAATATGCCTCTGTTTTCCGAATTTTCCTTTTCATCGTGACCCCTTAAGGCTAACTCAAATACTCCACAAAACCTTATACAATTAATAATTTTATTCAATACATATCGATTCTTATCCACTTGATTATTATGTTTAATTAGATCATTGCGATAAGCCGAATTGAGTTGAGTCCTTATATTTAATTTACCAAGAATAGAAAAGCTAAAAACATTATTCATATGGACTTTAGATTTTTCGTGGGTCTTCATTTTATCCCATATATGTATAAGATCATCTGTACCTTTTTTTGACCAAGTCTCGTCACCTCCAAATAGAACACATACAAAACAAAATAGTTTATTCGTTTCTTCACAACCACATATCCAGCTGTTTTTATCGTACACATTTTTATTAAATTTGCGACAGCGCGATTTTTGTCCGCTACCACTTTGTTTCTCAATTTTTAAATCGGGTATTGGCCGTCCTAATTCTTTAATTTGCAGTTTTTGATCCAGCGAAAAACCACTAAATGAGTTTTTTAATATCCCGATTTTATTCATTTTCACTAGTTTTAATAAAACAGTAAAAAATATGATCACAAAACAGAGCAGTTCATTAACACTAGACGTACTAAAACAAAAACGTTATTTCTCACTTTTCAGGTAAAAAAAGACCGAAATCAGCACTAGACGTAATCATAACGAAACGACCGACCGAACAAAAACACCGCCGATATCATTTGATAACGAATTACGACTGATGATGTGCCTGGCACAAATTATACTTGTCTTTCGCTATTCACCTCATATAAAAATGTGTATTGTAGCGTTATCTCTGTCGCTCGTATGCGATGCTGGTAAAATTTCTCTCTTTTTATTTGGGCCGGCCCGACATTGGCACAAGTTGATGACGTCAAGGTCAAGGCATGCTTTATATCTCGTCGCGTGTTCGGGTGCTTGCGGTGTTGTCACGTTGTCAGTGTTGTCACTTCATATAATTTATACCAAAAAAAAATGAAAAAGCAAAAAATAAAGTAAAACATTGAAGATTGAAAAAAATATTCTTTTTGAAGAAGACAAGGTAGTGCCATGGCACCGTGGCACTACCTCACGAGCCGCCACTGCATATACCTCAGTTTGTATTGATCTCTCGAAGCATAACGATGGAGTGGGGCAAGGCAGAGAACCGTATTGCAGTGATAGCTTTACATAAGTGTAATCACAGTGCTAGTCAGATTTTTGAACTCTTACGCGGCCTTCAAATATCGCGTAAATTTGTGTCTAGGACCATTCAGCGGTACAATGAGACGTCCTCTGTTGATGACAGGCCAAGAAGCGGAAGACCTCGTCAAGTAAGGACTCCAGCAGCCATCAAAGCCGTAAAAGCCAGGATTCAAAGGAATCCACTCCGGAAGCAGAAGATCCTATCCAGGGAAATGAAGATTCCTGTCCGGACGATGTCGCGCATCATTAAACAAGACCTAGGGCTAGGGGCTTACCGGAGATGTACGGGCCAGCGACTTACGGCCACCTTGCGACACATCAGGGCGACAAGATCCAAGAAGCTCTTGGAGAGGTACGCAGCTGGGGGATTCCGAAAGATTTTGTTCACGGATGAGAAAATCTTCACCATAGAAGAAAAATTCAACCGACAAAATGACAAAGTGTATGCAAGGAGTTCACAGGAAGCTTCGAAGATCATTCCGAGAGTTGAGAGAGGCCACCACCCTGCGTCAGTCATGGTTTGGTGGGGGGTGTCCTACGAAGGGGTCACTCAGCTCCATTTCTGTAAACAGGGCGTGAAAACAAAAGCGGCAAACTATCAGAGCGACATACTGGATCCTATCGTCAAGCCTTTAAGTGGTACATTGTTTGCCAACCAACACTGGGTCTACCAGCAGGATTCCGCCCCCGCTCACAAGGCTAAGAGTACGCAGCGCTGGCTGGAAAGCAATGTGCCAGAGTTCATTGCTGCGGAAGATTGGCCCTCAGGGAGTCCGGACCTCAATCCTTTAGACTACAAGTTGTGGGACCTGCTAGAGCAGTTGGCCTGCTCCAAAGCCCACCGTAATATCGAGTCCCTGAAAGCGGATTTGATCCGATCAGCGGCAGCTATTCCTTTGGAAGCTGTGCGTGCAGTGATAGATGAGTGGCCCGCGAGATTGAAGCAGTGTGTGAAGGCCAAGGGGGGACATTTTGAATAAAACTGTTTGATTATGAATTCTAAAAATGTTGTCGAATAAATAATATCTTTCATATAAATATATCTTATCTTGTTTCATTTTTATCATGAGATTATCATGGGACAGAACTTATGGCACGACTACGTATAAGAAAACCGTATACAACGACATCGGCTATAACGACATATCGCTTAGAGCGACGATTTTATCATGATTCACTTAACGAAAATATCGGCTACATCGAAAAACCGTCACTTTTGCAGGTTAAAGAAACTAAAGAAACACGATTTAATAGCAAATCGAATTGAAAAGCAAAAAGTAATTTTTAGGTGTAGGAGAGTTTGTGTTACTACGATAAATGTCGAACAATCAAGTATGACTTTTGAATAAGATCAATTTAAAAATTAAGCTACTAACAAAAAAATAAATTATAGAAAAAATGCGTCGGGTACGGTGAACTATATTTTCATAGCTCCAATTTTGTAAATAGCAACTAAAAAAATAGTTGTAATATTTAATACTGTAATTGCATTTTTTGTTAATATCTTGATTTTTATATTGATCTTATTCCAAATTACTTAGCCATATTCGATTGTTCTACTTTCCATTGCAGTAACACAAATTCTCCTATACTCGTACTTGAAAATTATTTACCTACTTTTTATTCCGATTCGCTATTAAACCGAGTTTCTTTAGTTTTTTAACTAAATATAATTTATTATTAATACTCGTAATTTTGTAGCGCTCAAATATATATATATATATACGGCGTCATTCATCTGTAGCAATAAAGACGACAAATAAAAATAAAGCGATAGTCAATCTACTCGACGCCATTTTCTTTTTCAGGGTAAAGTTCCAAGGTCCGACTTGCCTGGCCGTCCGTTAGAACTGTTCATGTGTTCCATCTTGAAGAGACAAGGATATGGTGAAGGCTTCCGTTGGTTGGCACAATACATTGACTGAAGACCGTTTCAGTTTTATATAAAAAAAATTGATTTGTGTGCAGGACTGTTATTAAATCTTTTACGGTTGAATCTATCTCGCCAGATGTAATGACCAATGTGTTATTTTGAAGCCTACTGTCGAAAAAATGGTGTAATGTTAGGTGGTGTAAATTTTTAACTTATTGTATTAAGTTATTATGATTTCTATTGTACTGTTCCAACATTTTAATATATTGAAGTGTTTTCTCGTGAAATTATATACTTTTTGCTACAGCTCATCAGAGTGTTGTAGGTTTTTCGAACAATCGAGCTATAATTCGAAATTTAGTATGACAGTAGATGTGATATCACAATAATCGTCACAACTTATTGTATTTGAAGGTACCTAAGAAATTTTTTGTATCTAGCTTCTTTTCAAATTAAATCCATTAAATAAATATTTGTAAAAAAACTTCTTTCATTTCTTTAGGCTCACTTGAAATGAGTCAAAGTTGCAAAAATTTTGACCTTGCGGATATATGATAATTTAAAATTGTGATCTCTGCATATTAAACCGATGACCTTTATTGTAGGCAAAATAGATTTGCAACTGAGTTCAGTGGTGTGGTTGGATTCTACCTACAAGGTGTAAATTATATAAATTCTTTTATTTTTGGTAAACTTTTTAAATACCGCAATTTATTTGTTTATTTCGAGTGGAGGACCCACGAGGGTGGGGGACTGGAGGATCACTGGGAAAATAAAATATATACAGAAAATTCTTGTCACAAGGCCATTCGCTCTCACAAGCACTAATAAAGCCACGGTCAGCCCTCCCCCTCGCTCGACGGTTTCCCTTTTTTCGTTTCATTCTCATTTCATTACTTCATGTTAGTACAAAAAATTGTTTACAATCATCATAACGCAGAAGAAAAGACTCTCATCATATAAAAATTTTGAACTATCACAACCCGTTTAAATCAGTATTTAGAAAATCATCAATTTTTTAAAAAGCATTTTGGATCAAAAAATGTCTAATACAAATCTTATAATCATTTAATGGCAGTGATCTTATATTTAGTGGCAATTTGTTACTAAATTTTATTGCCCAAAACCCTGAGCCATATTGAAACCTCAGTCGAAAAATTATTCAGCATCTGTATGCTGTTACACTTTCATCGGAGAGCTAGCTGCAAGAAATTGATGTGTCATATGCAAGGAGGGTATATTTGAACATTAACCCATTATTTGGGAGATCATTAATATAGATGACAAAGAATATGGGGCCTAGAAGATAACCTTGTGGCACTCCTACCGATACTTCTTTGCAAACCTCACACCATCAATCTCCACTGTTTGATATCTCTCTTGCAGATAGGACTCTAGCAGTGCAATGCTATTGGAGGAAAAACTAAAGCAAGCCAATTCCAAACAAAAAATCATTTGTCTCAAAGAAAGCTATCATATAAATGGCCATGATTTTTCCAATACTTTAGCGATAATTGGTGGAAGAGATATTGGTCAGTAATTTCCTGGGAATGTAGGATCATATATAAAACTGTCACTGTCTTGTCTACTAAAAGCACAATAGGTAGTTCTAAAAAGAGGGCAATTTGCTTATTCCAGAGATTTTTAACTGCTGTTGATAATATCTAGAGTAATGGAGGCTACTAGTGAACAGTGGTAAATTGAAAACAGTGATCGAAGCGACTTTTTGGAAGTTTTACGGATATTTAATTTTGAAACATATTAGTGTCATAAATTGTCAGGCTTTCTGGGTCAAGTTCTTTCTTGAAAAAATACCGAGTTGAACCATATGGAGACTGATCAAGATGTGACTGAAGCTGGTGGAAAAGCAAATGAGGTGAATGTATCACATGAAGAAAAAGGATTTTGTGTAACATTTTAAAGATAAAAGACTATACTATTTCGATACAAGAAAAACTGATAAAAGAACTATATGAAAAAATAGATAATAAACAAATTGAGAATTTACTAGATACATCTGCAAATAACAATAAATCTTATGGTCAAAAGTTCTACACATGAAAACACCAACATTATTTCGCCATCTCCAAAAAAACGGTAAAATATATGAGATAAGATATGGAGATAGATATTCATCATTATGATATGTTTTAAGCGTAAACACAGTTTCGAAACATGCAGGTGGCATACTAATATACAAACTGAGTATGATTGAAGTAAAAGCGCATAATACTGTAGTTGTTGATTGTCAATGGTGATATATTAATTTTGAAATCAAGATGACACAAAATTACAATGTAGACTCTCCAAGCTGTAATATTAGCCGATTTTTTTACTTTTTTGAGAGCGTTTGTGCAAAACAGTAGTATCGGAATTGCTCCACTGTGCACTTGGGAGACTTCAATATATATACTAAGTGACATATAAATCTGAACACCCAGTTTAAATGGTTTTATTTTAATAAAAGTTGGTGAATGTATTTATCTTACTGTAAATAACAAGTGAAAAAATGTTCAGCCTTATCAGTTGGACATTCCGGTTTTTATACTGCTTCTTTTTTAATTCACTAACGCTCTAAAAATGAATATTTCAGCCGCAGTAAAGAATCAACGTTGGCGGATTTTGGTTCTTGACATCCTTTACGATCGGTTACGATGCCTAGAGTACGTAGACCTGTACGATTTCGTCAACTTAGTGAGTTTGATAGGGGCCGTATAGTGGGACTTCGGGAAGCTGGACTTTCTTTGCAGTTAGAGTGCAAAGAAGTGTAGACACTGTGGTTAGGTGTTGTCAGGCATGGCTTCGAGAAGGCCGTACGCAAAAAGCAAAGGGCACTGGACGCCGCCGTAGAACAACAGACCGTGAAGATCGCCGCCTAAGATTATTGGCCTTAAGGGACCGTTTCTCCACTACCAGGTCCATTGCAAATGAATGGTTTGCAGAACACGGAAGACCTATTGGCATGCGAAGTGTTTACCGACGAATGAGAAGTTTTGGCTTGTTTTCATACCGGCCACACTGGGTCCTCCCTTTAACTCGAGAACACCGACGTAATCGCCTTGAGTGGTGCAGACAACGGTCACTCTGGGATCAGGAATGGAACAGTATTGTCTTTAGTGACGAGTCTCGATTTTGTTTAGGCATGCACGATGGTCGTGCCAGGATTAGAAGGCGACGTGGTGAAAGGAGGAATCCACAGTTTTTTGTTGACAGACATGTTCATCACACTGTTGGAGTTATGGTTTGGGGTGCTATAGCTCATGGTTCCAGGTCACCTTTAATCTTCATCAGAGGTAACATGAACGCGCAGCGATATATCCACGAAGTTCTAGAACCCCATCTTTTACCCTAGCTTGACACCCAGGCAGATCCAACTTTCCAACAAGATAATGCCCGACCACATGTTGCAAGAGTCACAATAGACTTCTTTCAACATAATTATGTCACATTGTTACCATGGCCACCAAGATCTCCCGACTTATCCCCAATTGAGCACGTGTGGGATATGATGGGTAGGAGATTGCTCAATTTGCAACGTCCTACTCAGACTCTAGAAGCACTTCGAGAGGAGTTGGTGGTTGCCTGGAATGAGGTACCACAGGAGGACATTGACCACCTGATCAGAAGCATGCCTAGGCGCGTTGGAGAATGCGTAGCACATCAGGGTGCATCCACACATTATTAAAGGTCAAATGGCTTTAAAGCAGTGCAATCATTTTGAAATTTTTATCATTTACTTATTATGCTTCATTAAGTACTTTTACAAAATTTTATTAAAATAAAACCATTTAAACTGGGTGTTCGGATTTATATGTCACTTAGTATATTTTGATAATCAAGATTTTTATGTAAAAAAAATTTAAACAGGTAGGTACTGAAGTTTCATGATCTATGACAAAAAGGTAATGACTACACAAGGATTACAAACTTTTCACGAACTAAGATCGATTTAATAATAATCAATGAACAGAATTTGAGTATTAAGGTTTTACATACTCCAAAAATAAGCGACCATTCGTGAATATGTTTCGAGGTGGAAAGTATGTTTCATGAGAGAGAATCAAGAAAAATCACAATTATTGATTTTGAAACGTTATGAGAGTCACTCTAACAAGCCAATATCACTTAAACTTTTAATGATGCTGACACTTTACTTCTCAAAGATTATGAATTGTATGAAGAACTGCATGAGAGATGCACAAATTGGGAAAGTGGTATATCAAAGGAAAAAGCCAACACTTATTCACAAATATTTCTAGATTCTAAATTTACGCGTGATAATGACTATAAAAAGTTTATGATCACTCAAACTGAGGAAGATTGGATACAATATAAGAAATCAAGAAACAAGTGTTTAACAAATATTAGGAACGAAAAGAAAAAATATTACGGAAACAAAATCGATAGCAATAAAAATAACAGTAAAATGATGTGGAAGACACTAAAAAATATTGTATCTCCCAGTAGGAAGAATGAATTATCAAGAATCTGCTTCGAAGATGGTATAGTAACACAAAAAATATTGATTGCAGAACGAATGAACGCTTATTTTATAGAAAGTATAAATGAAATAGTAGAATCAATCGAAGATGGGGATCCAAATCTATGTCACATGCAAGTTACTTATAACTCTTCTATGAGACAATTCCAAACAATAAATATTAGCCATCTTTCAAAAGCTATTATAAGATTGAAATCTAATAGAAATCCTAGTGAACATCTTTCAAAAATGGTTATGAAGGAATGTTTTAACATTATTGGAGAGAAGTTGTTATTGTTAGTGAATCACTGTTTAGTGTATGGCGAATTTCCTTCAAAATTAAAATGTTCTTCAATTACTCCTGTTCCAAAAATGCAATATTCTGAGTTATATACAAGCATGCGGCCAATTAATGTACTGCCAGATGTCGAGAAGCTCTTAGAAGGAATCATATATAAACAAGTCACTGAATATATTGAAGAAAATAAGATATTTAAAAAATTTCAAGCAGGATTCAGAAAAAAGTATTCTACTGAAACGGTAATTCAGATGGTAGTATAGGAGAATGGAGGCGAAATATGGATGAAAAAAAGATTACACTAACATTGTTCTTAGATTTCAAGAGAGCATTTGAGACTATTGACAGGGAGAAACTGTTAAAATTGCATTGCTATGGATTTCAAGGTTCAGTATTCAACCTATTATAAAATTATTTAATCAATAGAAGTCAAACAACTAAAATTGGCAATAAATTATTCAGCATTAAGAACATTTCGGTAGGTGTGCCACAGGGTCCATTACTATTTGTTTTATATATTAACGATATTCCTGATATTTTACAACACTGCAAAATTCAAATATTTGCTGATGATACATTAATATATATATATATATATATATATATATATATATCAAGTAAAGACATTGAAACTGCAATAGAGCTGTTAAATAATGATATGAAAAACGTAAATAAACTTAAACTAAACACAAACAAAACAAAATATATGCTAATAGATCAAAATACGATAAATCTTACAATTAATCATGGTAAAATTGTATCAATCGAATCATTTAAATATTTTGGCAAATGCGTAGACAGTAAATTAAAACTTGAAGGGCACTATGAATATATTATTTCAAAAATATCCAAGAAAATAAATTACTTTTACAGAATTTCGCATAGCCTAAGCGTTTATTCTAAAAAAATTGTGTACAACACTATCATTCTTCCTAATTTGTTATATTGTTCGACTATTTTGTTCACTGCAAGTGAAACTGTATTTTCAAAATTACAAATATTACAAAATAATGCTATGAAAATCATCTTAAATAAAAATAAATATACTAGAATAAATTTTATGCTGAAAAAACTACAATGGTTAAATATCAAAAATTTTATAGCCTACTGGGTTTTCATTTTCATATTCAAGTTAAAAAATCATCTTCAACTAAATCACTTTTATTGTATTGAACAATGAGTGCCACAATTATTCTACTAAAGGAAGTAAAAACTTTCATTTACAAAACTGCATGTTCAGACCATAAATATCACGACTCGGTTTATCATTTAAATTATTGATCATGCCTCGTAATTATTTGAATGATACTTCTCTAAATGTAAATACAGGACTATATACATTTTGAATATTACTGATAGTGTCACACTCTGCAGTACTCATATTCTCCTTGTACGAGTATCCCCCTCAAAATGTCCCTCTGGATCAGCGAGCATTCAGTCGCGTGACTACGAACCCGGGAAAAAATTATATATCTTGCCTGTTATTTATTACTTCCTTGTAAGACTACTGTGTTCACAACAATGACTACTTGAATTTATTATGTACAGCTCGCCAAGTGTAGGAAGAGTTATGATTTGCTGGGATTGCGGACACAAGAGAGGGAGACCAAATATTCGGAGCAAAAGAGATGGCACGTATAATACGTGCCATTCGATCTCAAGTGGTACAGTCTGCATCCTAAATTAATCGAATAATTTCAATAATGGAATACGTATTATATGTGAAGCCTGCTTTTTTTAATCAAAATTGTTGGCATGTGTCAAATTTTTAAATATCTTTTTGTAAATTTCGTAACTTCATTAACGTTACAAGACTAAGTTCTACATCATTCACAGATAATAAGTAATACAGTTGTTTCACTGCCTGACAATTTTACTTCTGACGCTACGCTAAGTTAGGGTATAGTTAACGGCTAACTATATAGTCTAGACACGGCAAGAGACTACTGCCACAGAGTACTACAGTAAGTGTAGAAAGTATTCGTACACTTGGATTGCAATGTCTCTCTAATCATTGTTGCTAGACATCTGCAAAAAAATAGACATCTACATCAAAGTATTCTTTATTCAATCTGGTCAATCATTCGAAAACAAAACAAAATAGTCTCTAAAGGAAATAACAACTCACAAAAATCTACCAAGAAGGCGAAAAAAAAGTATTCGTACACATGTGATTTTTCGTCATAAATTGTCAGTCTTGCACATGATACATGAACATCACAACAATTTAGTACTTGGTTGGGTACCCCTTTCCTTTCAAAACACTCTCATACCGTTTTGGCACGGAGTCTATCAGCCTAGACGTCAGTGAAGGGGGTATGCGGTTCCACTCGGTCAGTAAAGCAGTTTCAGATCCCCTCTGTTAGAGATCTGCCAATTTTCCCTTATTTTTGTCTCTAGATAACTCCATAAATGTTCTATGGGGTTCAAGTCCGGTGATTGGGTGGGGTATTTAGCTGCTTGGGGGTATTTGTTGCGGTATGTTTTGGGTCGTTGTCTTGCTGAAAGATGTAGTCATTTCCTAAACCCATTTTAATCGCACTTTCTTTCAAATTTTGCTTCAATAGCTCTATATACTTCTTGTGGTCCATGATGCCATCGATGAAAGCTAAATTACCCACCCCAGAAGCACTCATGCAACCCCACACTAAAACAGATCCACCACCGTGTTTTACAGTGGCACACAAATTCTCGGGAGAAAGATCTGTATTTTTCTTGCGCCACACTTTTTTGTTACCATCTGAACCAAAAATGTTATATTTACTCTCATCTGAGTAAATAGTCTTATTTCTGAACTCTGCAGTGTCATTCAGGTGCCCCTTGCTGAAGGCGATACGCTGGCTCTGTTGACTTTGCTTACCCACGGCTTCTTCCGGGGCGTGACATTATTCAAAAATTCACATCTATTGCTACACTTGACGAGCTGTACCTACTTTTGCATCGTTTCCACGATTGGAAATTGGGTTAGAAAGGTTCCTCAGAAACTTATATTTTTTTCACGAGGTATCCATCACGCTTTGACGTCTATTGAGGTGAACAGCTGATCAGCAGTCTGTGTTAGTCTGCAACGTTAGCAATAATGAATCGGGTGTAAATAAATCTAGTAAAACCTGTTTATAGCATTTTGTTTTTTGTATGCCGATGAACTTTTATAAATAAAAGAGCTAATAGTAAGTTCAAGATGAATGCGTATCATACAAAATACCAAAACAAAATTCGGCTATGTCTACCTGGCTTTGACGGATCCGTCAGAATTGTGTCATGTGCCGATATGGGGAATTTTGAAATATTACTACATAATCAGCTGTCATTCTACCGTGATGGATACTCGTGAAATAGGGTATAGTCTACAATATCAAAGTTATTTTTTCAAAATACTGTGTAAACGCGGCTTAACGACTGTATTGATCTTTTCGTAATTATTTTCGTCTCACTGTTGTAAAAATTAAATTTTCTCGCCGCTTCTCTTTTCCAATTTTCCTTGTTGTAAAATTATATCTACACCACTGGGTATTTGAACTCGTTATGTAATGTTTGTACTTTAGCACTCAATTTGTAATAAAAATGTAGATAATTTGCAATTTGCAAATCTCATTTACACTTTGTCGTGTCATAACCTCACTTTTATGCCAGCCAAACAAAAAAGCCCTGTAAGACCTGGCAGTAATTTTTAAATTATTTCACATAGTTTCATGTAAATAGTAAGATGACTCTAACTGTGAATCATCTCATGAATACCCTGAAAAACTCCCATAAATTTGATCGTGTAATGAAAGATGTAAGTAAGTACCTACTTCAACTCTTACCTTATAACTTTTATGTATTATTTTTTATTTAAGATTGTATTGAAAGTACTAAAAGAAGGAAAGTGTGTAGCAGAAATGAAAGTTGGAGAGGAGCATACAAATCCTATAGGCGGACTACATGGGGGCTGTTCTGCAACACTTGTTGACAACATTTCTAGCTATGCACTGCTTTCGCATGGTAAAGGAGCTGTAGCTAGTGTGTCAGTAGATATGCACATGACGTAAGTAGGTATAGAAACGGGTTAAAGTAAATTTACAAAAAGGTCTTATAAGAAAAAAATGACAATACGCTAGAAAAAGACATCAGATCATAGTAAAACCACTTTCTGATTCAGAAGTTTTTGTACACAATGTCCAATTATACTATGATTTGTTAATTAAGTTTCTATACACAATTTCCACTATTACTGTCTAGGAAGATTTAGTACAAGTTTCCAAAATGCTGATTGATCTATAACATTTTTCTACTATGATTTAACTGCACAAAATTTTAATTGTCTTCAACCAGAAATAGAATCACAGACATTAAAAATTATAAAAAGCTGAGCAGTAACTCATGATTGGACCTTATATCTGACCGTGTTTATTTCATTTTATAGGTATATGAAGGGTGCAGTGGTAGGAGACACGATAAAAATCGACGCCAGAACTCTGAGAGTAGGAAAAACTTTGGCATTTTTAGAAGTTGACATCACAAATAGAGAAACTGGTGATCTGTTAGTTAAGGGTTCCCACACAAAATATTTATTAAGTAAACTAAGTGGAAAATAAAACTCATTTTATTTATTGGACAGTATTTATTGTTAAAAAATATAAATTTACTCTTAATTTCTGTAGTTTATAATATATTCTCAGCTGAAAAAAAATGGCAAATTCATATTAAAAATCACTATCTCACTTTTAAATGTTGCCCCTCTGATACCTTCATAAAGTGCATTTTAAGTTTTCTGGTAATATTTCAGTGAATCGATTCCAACTTTGGGTGTTGGTTTTTTGTGAATTAGTAATAAACACATTTGTTTATAAAAAAGTATCAGTTTTCTTAATTAGTATTTTTCGTTTGAGTTTTTTCTTTCAACCATCTAGAAAATCAGTTTTCTGGCTACTTATTTCTCATTTCCTTGTTGTAAAATTATGTCTACACCACTGGCTAGTTGAATCCATAATATATCTTCCATACTTTGGCATTTTTGTAATAAAAATGTAGATAGGCCGGCAGTAATATTTGAACTATTTCACATATTTTTATGTAAATATCAAAATCACTCAAAATGTGGATAATGTCATGAATATTCTGAAAAACACCTATAGATTTAATCGCGTCGTGAAATACAGGAGTACGCACGTACCTAAATACGCACCTTATATTTTTTGTACCATTTTAAGATTTTATTGAAAGTACTAAAAGATGGACGGTATATAGCAGAAATAAAAGTTGGTGAGCAACATATAGACATATTACCCAACCCAATGAGAAGCACCGCGGATGTCGACCATCAATTCCACGATACTTTTGGGAACAATCATGGACCAGAGCGATAACAATAAAAACCACGAGGTCCCCCCAACGGGGACCCCAAACATCCGGGTGCCCTGGACCAAGAGACCCCGATCATGCTTTGACAGAGGAATCTGTCAGTAACTTAGTTAGAGAGCTCTAGAAATTAAAAAGACTTGTCGAACAAGTTCCGAAAAGAAAAGAGCACGGAAGCGGATGGGGGGGCACCATTTGTGGGCTCCGGCTGTCCGGGCCCAACCGCCATTTGGGCAGGACGGTGTGTCAGCGGAGGCCCCAAAGCGACTTGGCGACGGGCAGCGCCAGACATCTGCTACTTCTCTCGGGGAGCAGCCAACTCTATCTGCGATTACGAGTCCTCTAGGGCATGGCTGGAAGCCCACGTGAGTATCTGAGGACGCGGAAGGTGCAAGGCTCATTACAATGAGCTTTGGCGAGTTTCCTGTTTACCACCGCGTGATGGTGACCCTGGGAAATGAGGTCATCACGAGGAGACTCAATCCTAGAACCTTTCCCAGTGCGTGGAAGCTATTGGAGAGGAAGGAGGAACCCACAGGGGTCCGGCTTGTTCTCTCAGTGGATTCTATAAGCTGGAAGGTCATTGAGAGTAACGGCAACAGGCTGTGCTGCGGAGGAAGCTCGGGGGTGTTCACACTCCTGAGCAAAAAGAAAAATTTAGTCAGCGAGGCGACATCTCCTGGAACAGGTTGGACTCCTAACCAGGGATCTAACCTCCGGAGGTTACGGACGGGGAGACAGTGGGTCCTAGCGGGGTATCCACAGGAAACATCGTGGAGGGCCCGCGCTTGAACGTGTCCCAAAGGGCAGTGACAGCGACTCTGACGAGAATGGGATTTTTAACCGAGTCCGAGAACTCTTCCGTGGAAGCGGGGTTGAGGGCGACTGCGACAGGAAAGACTGTGGCGGCGATGGCCGTACTCCAGAATAGGGCATCCATATCGGTCTGGTGTGGGAGGGCCCCTCAACAACCATGGTAAGTCTCAATTTTATTCAAATTAGCTTACAGCACTGCATAGCAGCTTCGAGGGCCCTCACTCAGGAATCTCTCGAGTCCGCCATGACGAGGTTCTCATCCAGGAACCTTGGCTGACAAACGGTTCAGTAAATGGACTCAGTTTGGCTATACGCTTTTTAACGATACTTCGGACACCAAGCCCAGAGCTTGCGTAATGACTAGCATTAATACATGGCAACTTAAAGAATGTCGGTAACACGCCTACTTTCAGTAACAATGTTAGAGAAGAGGTTCTCGACGTAACAGTGGGTACCCTTAATTTGGCTCAGAAGATTATGGACTGGAAAGCTTAAGACTAGACATACTGATTGGGCGTCATTTAGAGGGCAGAACTTGGTAAGAAGCTTGGAGGGGTCCCATACAGCCTTTGTAGGGGCTCTGATATAGAAGCCGCCGTAGAGTCTCTGAGCAGGAACTTGCCGGCTTCGTATGAGGAAAATTGTCCGTTACGCAAAGTTCAAGGTAAGGGCATACCAACCTTCTGGTCCGAGGAGTTAGAGGATAGGAAACGATCTGTGCACAAACCTCTTGGTAGAGCTAGACACAGGAGATCTTCTCCCCAATGGGAAGACTTCAAGACGGCGTTGCAGGAATACAAAAAGGAAATTAGAAGGGCTTCAAGAGAATCCTGGAGGAACTTCTGTCGGTCCATTAATTACACTCCTGCCTAATACTGCTAGAATACACAGAATTCCATGCAAAGATACTAAAGCAAGATTTGGATCTCTTTCTGATACCTTGGGAGGTAAAACTACTTCCGAGGAAGGTATTCTGATTCTTCTGATGGATACGCACTTCCCCGATTCCACAATAACGCAATCAATCGTAGAGTGCATGCCGTTGCGCAGGCCCTCAGGAGAGGACTGGCGCATGGCAAGGGAGATTGTCACTGACGCTAAGTGACCTCGAATCAGACATAAATAATGGTGTACATAAATGTTCTATCTAGTCAAGTTAAATAAATTAGTGCATTTCTTTTTGTGGAATCCAGTGTTTTAATCCACACCCAAAAGAACCCAGAAAAGCGCTACATTGGTGTCAGGTGTGGGGTGTGGATTATTGGACATTTAGTGAAAGTAAATCGGATGATCAGTGAAGGAAGAATGGCGCAATTGGTTGATTTGAAAATTGCCGATTTAAAGAGATAGCTGAAGGAAAGGGAGTGCGACTCGGCTGGAAAGAAAGCAGAATTACAGGAGCGGCTTCGTCAAGCCGTGATTGAGGACCCGGTTGTTTTCATTTTTAGTGGTGCAGGGGATATTGGTTTAATGCTGCAAAACCTTTCGACCACGTTAGAAAACAAACTCGTGGAAAATTGTGTCAACCTAGAAGAAAAGCTCATGGTAAATTGTGCCGGCCTTTTAGAAAACTCAGCCAAGATACAAAATAGGCTCGTGGAAAGTACAGCCAAATTAGAAGGGAAGTTTTTGGAAAATACTGACAATTTAAAAAAAGAATTGGAAGATAAATTTATGGAAAAATCTGGCGAGTTGGAAAACGGATTTTAGAAACTTTGGAGGACAGAATTCAAGAAGTGCACGGCAAGTTTGTCGCTTTAGACGTCAAGATCATCGACGAACGACAGCGTGGACTTCCGTTGCAAAAATCAAGTAAAGTTGCAGCTTCTGTAGGGTCAGCTGGTCATCTGCGAATGAAACCGCTGCAATTTGATGGTACAACGTCTTGGAATGTTTACCGACGTCGGTTTGAGGCATCCGCGAATGTAAATGGTTGGTCATCGACCGAAAAGGCACCTGCACTCACTTTGGCCCTATGAGGAGATGCTGCAGCTATTCTTCAAAGAATATCACCCGAACAACAAGAGGTCTACGAACAGCTAGCAGGACATTTGGAGATGCGATATGGAGAGTCACATTTAGAACATGACTACCATACTCAATTAAAGAATCGGTTCCAGAAATCAGGCAAGTACCTGGTAGTTCAAGCATTATTCCAGGATAGACTTCGTGATGGTGTAATGAGGCAAGCCTTACTATCACATCCACCTGAGCTAGTAGATGCGCTAACTCAGGCCTTAAAATTCGAAGCCGCTAAAAACACAAATAAAAGTCAGTTCGAAGAGTCCGTCAAGCGCATTTTTAAGGAGCTTGATGGTGAAAGTCGCCGCCAGAACAGCAAGTTGGAATGTTGGAAGTGTGGAAAAATAGGGCACGTTAGGAGACGCTGTCCTGAAGGTGCTAGTCCTCATCCGGCCAATCCGGAAAACTTAGGGAGGTCGATGTGAAGGGGCTATCGTCGACCTGTAGCCAAGTCTCCTCGCTTAAACATCAGTCTAATAGTGTTTTTGTTGATGCTTTTGTAGATTGGGCTTTTAAATGTCGTGCCTCTGTTACATATTTTCAAGTTTTTTAAACATTTTTTAAGTGAAGGAAAATTCCACTTTGTGTTTTGGTTGTTGTTGAGCAATAATGCATGAGCAACTGTTGATTATAAAAAAGTCCACTCTTTTCATAATCAGTGTGTTTCCTTCAACCCTCTTGTTTTCTGGATACTTATTTCCCATTTCCTTGTAAAACTACGCCTACACCTCTGGCTAGTTGAATTCATCAGATAATTTTCGTACTTCGATCCTTATTTGTGATAACAATGTAGATAATTTACAAATTTCGATTTAAACTAGGTCACGTACTAACCTGAGTTTCATGCCAGCAAAGTAGAACAGCCGGAAGCAAATTTTGAACTATAATCTAATTATCTTCATCTAAACAACAAGATGACTCTAACTGTGAATCATGTCATGAACACTTTGAAAAACACCCATAGGTTTAACCGTGTGGTGAAAGATGTAAGTACTTACGTACCTAAGTACGCACCTTACCTTACCTTTTTGTCTAATTTTTATTTAAGATCGTATGGAAAGTACTAAAAAATGGACAGTGTGTAGCAGAAATGAAGGTTGGTCAGGAGCATACAAATACTGCAGGCGGACTACATGGGGGCTGCTCTGCAACCGTTGTTGATCTCGCTTCTAGTTGCGCACTACTTTCGCATGATAAGGGAGCTGTACCTAGTGTTTCAGTAGATATGAACATAACGTAAGCATACTTAAATATCATCCACAAAGCTTAAAGGCACTGCCCAAACAAGGTTAAAAAAGTAAAAACAATATAATTTAGAGAGACGTTAAAGCATAGTGACTCCACTTTCTAGCTTAACACACTAGTCATTAAATAAGTTTTTGTACACAATTCCAATCATACAATTAGTCCGCTATGTTTTTGTACACAATTTCCAATAGCAGTACGATTTCTGATATGACTGTAAAGTTTTTATAAATATGTCCAATAATGTACGTAAACCATTTCTAATTTGTGAAATTTTTGTACAATACGATTTGTCTGAAATTTTTATGCACAATTCCCAATGATTCTGCTATTTGTCTGTGGACCTTTTATACACAGTTTCCAATTATACTATGACTTGCCAATTTCCAATGATATTTGCCTGCGAGAAGGTACATAATTTTTAATAGATGTCATTTCAGTCAAAAATACCCATAATTGCAGTCTTTCTACAAACTACAAAAAGTAGCAAACTCATGAGTAGAACTTGTATCTGTTTAATTTTATTTTTATTTTACTTTATAGGTACATGAAGGGTGCAGTTGCAGGTGACACAATAATGATCGTTGGCAGAACGTTGAGAGTAGGAAAAACTTTGGCATTTTTAGAAGTTGACATTACGAATAAAGAAACTGGTGATCTTTTAGTTAAGGGTTCCCACACAAAATATTTATTAAGTAAACCAAATGGAAAATAAAACTCATTTTATTTATTGTACAGTATTTATTGTGTTAAAAATATAAATTTATTTACTTTTAATTACTGCACTTTACTTTTCATAACACATTGTAATAACTAAAACAAGATTTATTTTTGCTATTAAATTGTATCAAACCAAGAAAGGAACGTTTTTTTTTTGGTGAGGGGGGAATGCGTTTACGCACCATACCATAGCCCGAGCTACGGCATGTGTGGGACTCCAGGTTGTATTGAGGAGACCACCTAATACCCACTAAACCCTAACCTCCGCGTGGCCCGACTCATCAGCGTCTCGGTAGGCCATGTGTTGTGCGTGACCTGTGGTCTGCTACAACGTCTCCTCATGTGTTTCAGTCTCTGGGAACGCTGGGTTGGTTCCCTTTACCTCGCACATTCTATCGATGTCGTTAAGCGATCATCGATAGAGGGTCTGCTAGGTTCTCTTGAAACTATTGTTACCTATATATTGTTCCTGGTCCTGGTCCTGGTGGGTCCTGGTCGTGGCGGGTCCTGGTCCTGGTTGGTCCTGGTCCGGGAGGGTCCTGGTCCCGGTGATTCCTGGTCCTCTGCATCCACGCCGTTGGGGGGGGGGGGGGGGGGGCGCAACCGCGGGTTCTCCTCGTCTCCTAGTCAAGGTTCCAGTTAGCGGGTGCCAACTGGGACCTTGGTCTAGGGTACCTGGTTCTGCGGTTGGGAGGCCTCTCGTCCGGATCGTAGTCCATGAGGAATCGTAGCTACTCGTTCGGGTGGTCCGCTTTTTTCCTCATGTACTCGTGAATGGTGTCCCAATGCAGGTCTCTACGCAAGGTTGAGTAAGACCGCGGAGGCGTAAGCGAGCTGAGGTCCGGCGATGGCCTTGATCAGCCGTAGCTTGGTCGCTAGCGGCATCCGACTGTGTCTACCCAGTAATGGGTAGAGTTGAGCCATGGCTGCTCTGGTCTTTGCGATGACAGCTTCTATGTGGGCTTTCCAGGTGAGGGACTAGTCAAATACGATCCCCAGATATTTGACTTTGTCGCTCCACTGGATATCTTCGTCGAAGATGGATGCTTCGAGAGGTCTTGCAATCCTTCTTCGTTGAATGAAGATTGCCTGCGTCTTCTGGACGTTGATGCGGATTTTCCATTTCACGCACCAGTCCTGGATGTGGTCCAGTTCATCCTGTAGTCTACTACGGATGATCTCGGGTCGTCGATGCTTGGCGGCTATAGCAGTGTCGTCTGCATATAGGGCCAGCATTGTGTCAGCTGTCTTCGGTACATCGTGAGTATAGATGTTGTAGAGCAGGGGGGCTAAGGCTGACCCCTGGGGCACGCCTGCTTCCAGCTGTCGTCTTGTTGAGTGGCATGTACCAATCCTCCCCGTGAACCATCTTTGTGTTAGATAGCTCTGGATCAGTTGGCACATGTTCGCTTCGATTCCGGCGGCTTCCATTTTGGCGATGAGTCCTTCGTGCCAAACTCGATCAAAGGCTCGTACCACGTCCAGCAGGACGAGGCCGGTTGCCTCCTGGAGATTGAAGCCGCTGGTGATGTTTTCTGTCAGTCGTAGCGCTTGGAGTTGCGTGTTGTGGGAGGATCTGAAGCCGAATTGCTCTGGGGGGAGAAGTTGCAGTTCTTCTGCCTGCTTCTCTAGTCGAACGGCGATAGCCTTTTCGACTAATTTGCCCATCGAGGAAACCAGGCTGATGGGCCGGTAGTTCTGGGGCAACTTCCGGTCCTTGCCTGGCTTGGTGAGCATTATAACCTGGGCTTCCCGCCACCGCCGCGGGAAGTGGTTAAGTCTCAGAGTGGCATTGGCGATGTTGGTGAGTGCAGCAATGCCTTTGGAGGGAAGATTCTTCAGCATCCTGTTGTTGATGCCGTCCCTTCCCGGCGCCTTTCTGACCTTCAACCTGCGGATGATCAGACGGATTTCCTCTGGACTGGAGGGGTGATCCGTCTCCTGGCCAGGTGGTCGACTCCTCATGATTTCGGCTGCGACTTCCACGGCCTCCTCGTGGTTGTCGTCCTCGTCTTCATTGTAATTGAGTCTGCATTCGTATCCTAGCGAATCGGCGAATGCTTCGGCTTTTTCTTCACTGGAGTAGGCCAAGCCGCGTTGGCCGTGAATAGTGGGGATCGTGGTGCGCTGACGACGAAATTTTCGCTGCATGGTCCAGGCCGTACCATCCTGGGTCTCTAGTTCTGCACAGGCTGCATTCCATCTGCTGTTTTGGAGTTCCGCGAGTGCGTTCTTCAGAGCTAGCGATGCTCTGTTTCGCGCAACTCTCGACTCCTCTGTCAACAGCTGGAGATGTTCTCGCTTGAGTCTTCTGTTCTCCCTGATCAGGTGCCTAATATGGTGCGGTGCTGGACCATTTAGGTGTCTAGGAACTGCCGTAGTCTCGGAGCGGGTGCTGTCCTCGTGCGCTCGCAGGACAGCATTCTCCAGCTCCTCTACTGCGTTGTCCAGTTCCTCCGCTGATCGGATGGTTGGATTTTGAGTGATGTTCCTTTGGACGTTGGATTTGTACAGGTTCCAGTTCGTCCGTTTGGTGCTCAAGCTATCTCGAGTTCTAGATCCTGTGCCAAGTGTTAGTAGGATCGGATTGTGGTCCGACGATCCTTCCACCAGGGTCTCTATCTCGAACTCCTCTCTGATGTTGCGGAGGATGGCTATGTCCAGTACCGCAGGTCGCCCAAGGCCGAATGGAATGTAGGTTGGTTGCTCCGGACCGACTATGACCCCCGCCAGGGCATCGACGTGTTCCTGGAGCTGCCTTGCATTCCTGTCTTCGACGTTGTTGTTCCATGCCGGAGACTTGCAGTTTAGATCTCCGATGACTGTGCGTGCTCCTGGGCCTCTCAGGAGGTCAGCGATGTCATCTTCGTCTAGGGCCTCCCCTGGTGGCACATATAGGGAGGTGATTCTGTAGGGACGGTGGTTGTGATGGACCTGGACCGTGATTCCGTCCCCATTGATGTCTGCGGCGTCGTCGAGGACATGACTCGAAAGGAACGACAAGACACATCCTATAGAAAAACGATTCCCACTGAAGAAACACTAGCTATTAACTCTTCGGTTTATATATAATATTTTATCATCTCAGTTCCGAGCTAGCAGCCGTCGCGACTGTACACTTGTGCGACTGCGACCCACCCGGACTTACTTTGCAATCTTATTGCGATTTTCACCGCGATACGATTGCTATCTACGATGGCGAGAATCGAAAAGCTGACAAGCCAGCTAAAGCAGAAGGAAGATGATTTCGCCATGCTTGCGGAGCAGATGAAAATTCTGCAAGAAGCTTTCAAGCAGGTGAGGCAGGAGATAGAGGAAGTGAAGGGGAAGCTCCTCAAGGCGAAGAGGAAGGCAAAGAAGACCCCAACAGAAGAAAACGAGGACCAGAAGACCACATCGGACAATGAGATGGATGCCCAAGAAGAAGACAGCCAGCAACTGGACGAGACAGAAGAAGAGAAGAGGACAGCCGACAAGAGCGACACGGACTACAGTGTGGTCACCAGGCGGAAGAAAAGAGTGAGGGTTTCCTCCTCCTCCTCCTCCAACGATGCACCCAGGCAGCCAGCTGCCACCCAGAAGAAGAGTCCTAGAGCAGCCAGGACCATCGAGGCCCCCACGGGAGGAACAGGAGTTCCTCCAATCAACATCGAGGGCACCGCTGATTGGTCATCCTTAAGCAGGATGATCAACAATAAGGGAATCCAATTCTCTAAAGCGAGGACTGCAGGGAACAGTGTGAAGGTGTTTACCAACACACCGGCAGACTACCGTCAGCTAGTAGCCCTGCTAGACTCAATGAAGAGGCCCTTCTTCACTTACCAACTGAAGGAGGAAAGGATGGACCAGAGGGTAATTCGAGGACTACCCAGGGAGATGTCAATTGATGACATCAAAGAGGATCTAGTGAGCCAAGGTATCGCAGACGCCGAGGTTCAACAGATGAAGACCAGGAACACCAAGCAGCCGCTACCGCTCTTCCTCGTGAAAACGAGATATCCAGGAGATACTAGACCAGTACCAACCAGAGGTGATGGCCATCCAAGAAACGAAATTGGATGCTGCCCATAGTCTGACGTTCCCGCGGTACGAGACGTACCGCTACGACAGAAGAGGCAGAGGTGGAGGAGTCGCACTACTCGTCAAACGTACCCTGACGAGTCATGTCCTCGACAACGCCGCAAACATCAATGGGGACGGAATCACGGTCCAGGTCCATCACAACCACCGTCCCTACAGAATCACCTCCCTGTATGTGCCACCAGGGGAGGCCCTAGACGAAGATGACATCGCTGACCTCCTGAGAGGCCCAGGAGCACGCATAGTCATCGGAGATCTAAACTGCAAGTCTCCGGCATGGAACAACAACGTCGAAGACAGGAATGCAAGGCAGCTCCAAGAACACGTCGATCGTCGGTCCGGAGCAACCAACCTACATTCCATTCGGCCTTGGGCGACCTGCGGTACTGGACATAGCCATCCTCCGCAACATCAGAGAGGAGTTCGAGATAGAGATCCTGGTGGAAGGATGGTCGGACCACAATCCGATCCTACTAACACTTGGCACAGGGTCTACAACTCGAGATAGCTTGGATGAACTGGACCACATCCAGGACTGGTGCGTGAAATGGAAAATCCGCATCAACGTCCAAAAGACGCAGGCAATCTTCATCCAACGAAGAAGGATTGCAAGACCTCTCGGAGCATCCATCTTCGGCGAAGATATCCAGTGGAGCGACAAAGTCAAATATCTGGGGATCGTATTTGACAAGTCCCTCACCTGGAAAGACCACATAGAAGCTGTCATCGCAAAGACCAGAGCAGCCATGGCCCAACTCTACCCATTACTGGGTAGACACAGCCGGATGCCGCTAGCGACCAAGCTACGGCTGATCAAGGCCATCGTCAGACCTCAGCTCGCTTACGCCTCCGCGGTCTGGGGGTACGCTGCTCCCAGCTACCGCGAGCGACTTGCTGCTCTAGAGATGAAGCTACTCCGGATCGCCACCAGTGCGCCATCCTACGTAAGAAACTCAACCTTGCGTAGAGACCTCCATTGGGACACCATTCACGAGTACATGAGGAAAAACGCGAAGACCTTCCAGAAAGCTCAGGACCACCCGAACGAGCAGCTACGACTCCTCATGGACTACGATCCGGACGAGAGGCCTCGCAACCGCAGAGCCAGGTACCCTAGACCAAGGTCCCAGTTGGCACCCGCTAAGTGGAACCTTGACTAGGAGACTAGGAGAACCCGCTGTTGCCCCCCCTCCCCCACGGCGTGGAAGCAGAGGACGAGGATCAAGACGACCACGACCAGATCCCATCAGGACCAGGACCAACTAGGACCAGGACCCATCAGGACCAGGTAACATACTAGTAGTAGAGGACTTGAAACTCTTGATTTTTCGAAAACAAGAGTTTCAAGAGAACATAGCAAACCTATATCGATGCTCGCTTAACGACATGAGGAGACGTTGTAGCAGACCGCAGGTCACGCACAACACATGGCCTACCGAGACGCTGATGAGTCGGGCCACGCGGAGGTTAGGGTTTAGTGGGTATTAGGTGGTCTCCTCAAGACAACCTGGAGTCCCACACACGCCGTAGCTCACCAAAAAAAAAAAAACAAAAAAAATTTAGGCAGCAGCGGTGGCCGCAGTAGTAGACTCTTCGGTCTCCTGATCAGTCGCCGTGCGCTGTGCGGGTTCGAATTCCGTTCCAAGAGAAATTTTTCTCTTGGCTATGGATGTTGTGATTGTCCGTAGGTGGTAGACGGTATCTGACTGTCGAACGCGGAGGTACCACCCGGCGGATCTCGACGGCGGAGCCAGAATGTGTGCATTTTGCTTGCACACGTATTCCCTCGCCAGAGTCCGTGCTCGCATCACTTTGATGTACCGCGAAGAACGGATCGGGTGAGCCCGAATGCATACGAATTCGTACGCCTCGTTTAGACGTACACATAGGTATGCTTATGCGTCTCCGGGTTGCCTCATTCGCGCTCGTGCTCATATGCGAACCCGCCTTTTGACAAGCAATAACTCAGCAACTGTTAATTACAAAAAAGTCTAATCTTTTCGTAATTAGTGTTTTTTCTTCAAGCCAAAAGTTTTTATAGGTATGCCAAATCATGTATATGTTTTTCTGTACGAAATCTCTGATTTGTCTGTGAAATTTTTGAACAATATATGACCGTCAAATTTTTATACACAATTTCCAATGATAGTATGACTTGCCAATAATGTTTTTATATACACAAGTAAATTAAGTGGAAAATAAATCTCATTTTATTCAACGCACAGTATTCATTTTTAAAAATATAAATATATTTACTTTTAATTGCTGCAGTTTACTTTTCATTGTAACAGCTAAAAAAGAGGCAAATTTTTTATCCATAATTACAATCTCGCTTTTAAATGTTATTCCTCTGATCCATATTTTTAAGTTTTTTAAGATAAGGAAAATTCCACTTTGGGTTTTGGTCTTTGTCAAGCAATTAAGCACGAACAACTCTGTTGATTATCAAAAAGTCTAATATTTTTTCGTAATATTAGTGTTTTTTACTTAAGATCGTATTGAAGGTACTAAAAAATGGACAGTGTGTTGCAGAAATGAAGGTTGGTGAGGGGCATACAAATCTTTCAGGCAGACTAGATGTGGGTTGCACTGCCACTTTTGTTGATTTCGTTTCCAGTTACGCATTATTTTCGCACGACAAAGGAGCTGTGACTAGTGTCTCAGTAGATCTGCACGTAATGTAAGCATGAATATTACAAAAGCTCAAAGACATTACAAAAAGGTGTCAAAATAGAAAAACTATGTATTTTGAAGCGACTTCAAATCATGACGACTAGGTAGTTTTCGTCTCTACGCACATTAGTCATTAACAAAAGTTTTTGATAGAATTTCCAATGATACTATGATTCATTTGTGCAGTTCTAGTACACGTTTTCCAATCATACGGTTTGTCAACTTTTTCTGCACAATTTCCAATAGTAAAGTTTTTTCCAATGATAGTAAGATTTGAGATTTGTTTGTGAACTTTTGCACACAATTTCCAATAATTCTGCGATCTGTCTGTGAAGTTTTTGTACATACTTTCTAATATTACTAAATGATTTGTGATACGTTTTTGTACAAATTTGTAGTCTTTCTACAAATTCCAAAAAGCGAATCTGTGAACTCATGATTAGACCATGAATCTAATTTCTATTTTTTTATTTTATAGGTACATAAAGGGTGCGAAGGTAGGTGACACACTAAAAATCGAGGGCAGAACTATGAAAGTAGAAAAAATGTTGGCATTTTTAGAGGATGAGATTACGAATATCGAAACTGGACATCTTTTATTTAAGGGTTCGCGAACATTTTTTTTAAGCAAACTATAAGTGGCAAATAAAACTTATTTTGTTTATTGTACAGTATATATTGTCTTAGGTACAAATCTGTTTAAAAATACATTTATTTACTTTCAAATGCTGCAGTTTACCTTTCATTGCATTGAAGATAAAGAGGCAAATCCATATTAAAAATCACAGTTTCGCTTTCAATTGTTGCTCCTCGGATACCTCCGTAAAGTGCTCTTTAACTAAATCTTCTGAAACATCTTTAAGAGATGGAGGATCCCACTTTGGGTTCTGGTCTTTGTCAATCAGTAACGCACGAACACCTATTGATTAAACAAATAATTATATAAGAATTCAACCTTATCAGGTTATCTTTATTATCAAAAGTGGTGATTTATCTTGCAAATATATTTAAATTTTAATTGTACTTAGAATTATTTCTTAAAAAACTTACAGGAAAGAAAAGAAAAATGATTCCAGATTCTTTACCTTCATAGAAGTCTTTGTGGTCCAAACAATTAGAAGCTAACCTATACTCCATGATCAAACAATCATTTAGAGACATATTTTTTCCTAATTCCAACTGTCTCAAAGTCACTTTCAGACTGGTTGGTGACATTTTATTGAGTGTTTTCAATATTTCTTCCGCCCATGTAGATCCATCTTTCTCTAACCTTGCAATAATCTCTTCCATAGAATCTGGCGCAAAACAATGATTTATCTTTTCAACGACTGATTGCAGAGAGAACTCCGGCACATCTTTCTTGTTAAATTTATCCAACACTGACTTAACATCATTTTCGTTGCTGCAATTCATCAATGTTTCTTCTAATTCAGGCAGTTGTTGGCTATCACATAAATGTGTTGCTACTCCAACTTTCAGTACATCAGAGCCTTTGAGGCGATGTCCTGTTAAAGCCAAAAATGCTCCGAGTCTGCCGGGTAGTTTTGGCAGGAAGTAAGATCCCCCGACATCCGGAAATAACCCAATTTGAGTTTCAGGCATGGCAAATAATGTTTTCTCTGTTGCTACTCGATATTTGCCATGTACAGAGAGCCCTACACCTCCTCCCATAACAATGCCATCTATAAATGCTATATACGGTATTTTGTATCTTCCTATCAGGCCATTTGAAGCATACTCATGCTTGAAAAATTCATATCCTGAAATCAATATACAGGGCGTTACAGAAAATCAACGAAAAAATTTGACGGCATATTCAGCAGTATACGTACGTAGTGTCCAAGATAAGAATCCTATGCATGGGGATTTCAATACCTGTGGGACATACAGCTTAGGTTAAATTAGGAAAAAGCTGCGTTTCTTGGGGCATATTTACATGCCGTTGTGAAATTTGTAAAAATTCCATGGCTTACTGAGGTATTTGGGAAAAACTAAAATTTGGCCAAATCACTTCTATTTTTCTGACTTTATTTTAAGGAATATCCAAAAACTAACGAACCTTTTTCATTGGCACTTTTTTGGCACTACATGATGATATTTCTAAACTTTGTGCATGACCTTTCGTTTTTGAGAACCATCATCAACTTTATTTTTTATACGATCCGAAAAAAGTACCTAATAGCAGTTTTTCATACGAACTCAATAATGTATCATATATATATATATATATATATATATATATATAAATTTCTTGGTTATTAGTCTAATCATATTGGCAAATTTCTCCGAAATAATTGTAACGTCTGGTTTTATTGATGCAAGTTGTTCAAGGGGGTATTTGAAACATAGACGCACAAAATCGGTACAAGAATTTTTGTGGGCAAACTTTTTATTCGACAGCATCCACCATCATCAACTTTATTCTTTATATGGTCCGAAAAAGTACACCCTGTATCTGAAATAACATTTTTTTATTTTAAGTATGTGTTGCAACCAAATGCTTGATGTAACATTATGAGATTACATATTACATAAGTTAGTTATAAAGAAAAATGTGTTCTTTATTTTATTCAAGTAGGCGCTTAATATATCCAAATTTAAAAAAAATTAATAGAAAAAGAGGAGCTGGATTCGAACCTCCGTCCTACGGTTCTGCAATCGTTATTCCTTCCATTACACTACGACGCCTCTTGGTTTACTGGATCTTTATACCACTATACTTGACACTGACCAATATCAAGCGGACGTTGGAGGCATATCAAATCCGTTATAAACAATTAGAATAGCTATTGAAACCTAAACAAGATACATCAGTTCTGAAACCTTAAATAATGTATTGGAGACTAATACCGAGCATTGTGCCTAATTTTTCAGATGGTGAGTTCGCTACAATTGGTTAATATTTGTCTACTGTTGATTTAGATTAGAAGAATTTCAAGTAGCTGCGTGAAATTATAGTCGCATTAGCAACAAGTTCCAACACTTCCATTTAGCCTCGGCTTTCCTCCTTTTAACGTGTGGTCTCATTCTGTAGGTCTCATATACTTAAAAAATTTATTTAAAAAGTTTTTCGCTCCTGCCAACACTATCAATTTTATCCCAAAAAACACATATTCTCATTCTTTGTTGTCGAATAAAAAGTTTTCCCACAAAAATTCTTGTACCCATTTTATGCGTCTATGTTTTAAATACACCCATGAACAACTTGCATCAATAAAACCAGACTTTACAATTATTTCGGAGAAATTTGCCAATATGATTAGACTAATAACCAAGAAATTAAATATGTGATACATCATTGAGTTCGTATGAAAAAATACTATTAGGTACTTTTCTCGGATCGTATAAAAAATAAAGTTGATGATGGTTCTCAAAAATGAACCGCCGGGCACAAAACTTAAAAACACCACCATATAGTGCCTAAAAGAAGTTAATGGAAAAAAATAAATGTTTGTCCGTTTCTCAAAGGCATGTAAATACGCCATAACAACTCAACTTCTTCCTAATTTAAATTGCATAGGGTCCTGATCTTGGACACCCTGTATATGTTCCCCCACCCACAACATCCAAGTTTTAGGCCTGCAAAATGTTTTCTGAAAATAATCAGGATATTCAGAAACTTAAAAAAACAAACTTTGAGCCACTGTTTGCCTGAATCTGTGAAGCCACTGGACCGATTTTCAAATTAGTACAAAGCTTTTCAGTCCTTGACATAGTGGCAAGCTTGTGTGAAAAGTTCATCAAAATCCGAGCAGTACTTTCCAATTTATTGACGGGCCAAAAATTAGCGATCAGAATAAGAATACGAAATCTTATTACGACGTCAGTGCTATACGTTCTTCAGTGTATACATTGTATCTTTACGTTTAGATGGTTTTGCAAAGTTTACAAAGAAGAGCTCATAGGGTAATTTACAGTATGCACAAAAAATTTACTGAATTCAAGATTTGTTTTTGAATGTCCATTATATGCTTATCACAATCAAGCCTTGCTGCAACAAATAACGACTACCATAAAAAATCAACTGATATTAAATAAGGACGAAACATTCATAAGTTTTTTTATTGAAAAACAATTACCAGACCGCATTTTTAATGACAATGTGATATATTTCCATTCCGGTGTAAAGCTATTAGGTATTTTTTAGACTCTGATCGCAAGTTTACCAGTCACATTATTTATGTTCTCAAAATGAAACCTCTCCTAAGCCAGGATTGTCTTTTGTGAAAATCAACCCTGATGGTTTTATTCTCTTCGGACGAAACTTCAGCTATACAACACGTAGTATGCTTCAAGTTTTCCTAGGCATATGAAAGATCTGTATTTTACAACTGCTTCCACCTATTCAACAAGTTTACCAAAATATTTCAGGGATATCACAAATTAAAATCTGTTTAAGCACAAAGTGAAGAAATTTCTATGCCTGTTTTTATTTGTGTAATTCTTTGACTGGTCACATGTATTAATGTGATCGAGAAATATCTATTTGTCTGTAATAACCATAACACCAGAACTAAAAACCACAGTATCGACTACAAAAATCCAGATTATCTACAAAGTTCACTTCTTAATAAGTTATTGTTAAAAAGTTATTATTTATCTGTTTAAGTGCAAAATTAAACAAATTTTGATTGCAAAACCTTTATTGGTATGATAATGACTTTCTGAGCATTTCCCCGAATAACCCATGACAACAGAAGCATAGGTATGTCTACACTGAAAACCAAATATGTCTGACAGCTTGAGTTCAATGTTTACGTGAAAGAAGTCTGTATGGACACATATGTTAGAAAAAGATAGAAGCCGGCTGGACAGCGAAGCTCATTGCCAGGTGGCTTACCAACGCTGACGCGGCAACCTGCCGCGTTGTCATTATCTTACACCAGTTCGTTGAATTAAAATGCATATTGAAAATATATGTTAGTTTATTCTGTGTGCGCAAATAATGGTTTTATTTTGAGCGTACACATTTTTGAATTATGTCGAATCTGCTTGTTACATTTTGCGACCGCGAGCTCATAATGTGTTGATTTCATCATCATCGGTGGAAATAAGAGATAATTCTAAGATAAATTAAAACAAGAAGTCGCATCAAGATTGAAATGAATAACTCTAATCAGAATGAAAACAAAATATTATATTAAATGTTCTAACAGACTTCTTGGGTTTGACAGTAACCTAACCTATTGTAGAAGCCTGAGCGAAGATTTTCTGGTGTAACATATTGGCAACGCGGCAGATTGCGCAACCTTCTGCGTCACCGTTGCTAGGCAATGTGTGATGAACTTTGCTGACCAGCCAGCATCTATCTCTTTTTAGCATGTGTTGCTACACACTTCTCGCGCTTTTCTCTCGTACACATTGAACTCAAGCATCAGACAAATTTGGTTTTCCCTGTATTCAATATCTTGTTTGTATGACATTTTAACTCTGACTTTTGAGTTGTCGTAAAAGACAAGGAAGTAAAATTCCGATGCCACTTCATTTTTTTATATGTTAATGTGTTAAATGTACTTGCATTTATTCTAGATTTTGTAACATCCTGTAACATACAAACCTAATTTCTTTTCCCCTTTTAGTCCTGCTGTAATTACAGCCTTAACATCTCCACCTGCGCAGAATGCCTTATCGCCAGCTCCTTTAACCAGCACCAAGGTCTTTTTAGATTCCCAATCAGTCAATACTGGATGTAACTTTTTAACCATGGATAAGTTCAGGGAATTCAGTGCTTTGGGTCTGTTGAGTATAATGACCCCTTTGTCTTTTATTTCTTTGAATATCACATCGTCAGCATCTGTGGACATTTTTCTTAACTGCCTCAATGCAAGTTTCGAAGGTCTTGATACAACTAAGGTTAGGTTGCGGAACATCTGGAACAAAATAGAGCAGAGATTATTATCAGCTGAAGATAACATGCATATAAGTGATATAAAGTTAATATTGATCAAAATACTATAAATGTGAGCAGTGGTATACCGTAAAAAGGTAAAAAACGATGGATTCCTGTTCTACGTTATTATATCATAAAATGGTTTTCGGAGACAAAATTTAGCGTAACAATTAAAATAAATGAGATTACTACATTTCTAATCAGTAAATTTGGTCTGCTTGTTGCTTAATGTTGTGATAAGGAAGAGGAAACGTATCGGACCCCACCACAAATCATCATACATACCTAGATATATAAAAGCAAACTGGTATGATTTATAGAAATTTTGAACCAGTTCAAAGTTTCAATATTTAAATAACTAAATCGCTTGTGAAAATTAGAATATGAATATATCAGGAATTAGAATTGTAATTTTACATATTTTTAAATTCAAGTCCCATCGTTAAACGGGTTGCATATCTTCCAAACATCCAAACATCTAAGCCAGACCTCAATGTCAAGCTGTCAAGCATAGACAAACATTTTAAATTGAAGCCCATCCTATATTTCTACCAGAGGAAAAGGGGGCTACTAAGTTATAAGCCACGCCTCGTTTCCTACATTAACTTAGCGAGTATTATGCAGGTCCCACACGATGCTTCCAACGTTGTTTACGACGTTCGACACCCCACAATTGGCAAGTGTGTCTCCTACACGAAGGGATGAACGCATGGTGGCGCCAACGTCTATTATCGATGTCAGTGTCGCGCTTGAACAAACAACTGAAGGAAAAATTATACAAAATAAACGATGAAACAATTTTTTTCGAGCGCCGAAAAATAATACAAAGTTAATATTGATCAAAACACTATAAATGTGAGCAGTGGTATACCGTAAAAAGGTAGAGAACGGTGGATTCCTGTTCTGTTATTATATCACAAAATGGTTTTCGGAGACAAAATTTAGCGTAACAATTAAAATAAATGAGATTACTACATGTCTAATCAGTAAATTTGGTCTGCTTGTTGCTTAATGTTATGATAAGGAAGAAAAAATGTATCGGACCCCACCACAAATCATCACACATACTTAGATATATAAAAGCAAACTGGTATGATTTATAGTAATTATGAATCAGTTCAAAGTTTCAATATTTAAATAACTAAATCGCTTGTGAAAATTAGAATATATCAGGAATTACAATTGTAATTTTACATGTTTTTAAATTCAAGTCTCATCGTTAAACGGGTTGCATATCTTCCAAACATCTAAAATCTAAACCAGAACTCTGTGCCAGAACCCCAATGTCAAGCTGTCAAGCATAGACAAACACTTTAAATTGAAGTCCATCCTATGTTTCTGCCAGTCGAAAAGAGGGCTACCGAGTTATACACCACGCCTCTTATCCTACATTAACTTAGCGAGTATTATGTGGGTCCTACACGATGCTTCCAACATTGTTTACAACGTTCGACACCCCACAATTGGCAGTCGTGTCTCCTACACGACGGGATGAACTTTTTAGTCTCGGACGTTCGACGCATGGTGGCGCCAACGTCTATTATCGGTATCAGTGTCGCGCTTGAACCTTTACAACTGAAGGAAAAATTATACAAAATAAACGATGAAACAATTTTTTTCGAGCACCTAAAAATAATTTCAGATCTGTCCTCACCGACCAAAACTTAAGTCTGCCGGAAGCCTCAAAAATGTCGAAAATCGAAGTTTGACCGTTGTTTGTTTGTTTTTCGACAATAGCTCCACCGCCACTGTACCGATTTTCAAAAACTGCCGAGCTTTTTCATCATTTTTATAGTGGTAACCTAGGGTCAATATTTCATCACAATCCTGATACTACTTTCAGAATTATCATTTATTTAATGTTTTTCGTTAGTTGTGGAATGGAAGTCAATATATTTCTGAACTAGTCTTGCTTTGCAACAGGGCATTATAATGAAACAACTGTAAACACTTGATAATTTATAATTTACTAAAATACCTATCCTTAAGTCAGCCATAACTCATCTGCGAAACGTACTAAATATTAGCAATATGAAAAAAGTGTTGTTATATTGTATGTATACTAATTTAATCCATTCTCCTCAAAAGTTAGTTATGGAACATACATTATTATGAATAGGTAGGTATTAAAATCAAAATACTTCCCACGTATCACTACTTCACCACAATCACAACAAATAAATAAATAATGTTTGTCGCCGCTACTGGTTCTAACCTAAAACCGTCAAAAACATCACATCTCGTGTGGGAGCGAAACGAACCATACTTCCAACGTTGTAAGGTCCTTTGACGTGGGTCAAATTTACCGACAAGCGGCCATGTGGATAACGTGGCACACATGCAATCCGTCAGCGCTCTCTCACACGATGTGGCGAACGGCCATGCGTCCAATGTTGTAAGGCATTCGCCACGTCATGTGGGAGCGGTTTTATCGCCACGTTTCTTTTGTTCTTCCAGTAGTTCTTCCCTAGTCGGTTACTAGCGGCATCTACTAAGAGGAAACTTGAAACAAGAATTAGTATAAGCAGAAAACTATATCCGGAAGCACTTCAAAACTATGCAAATATTTGAGATTCCAGTCTTAAAACCACAAAACACATAAGACATAGAAAGGTTTTGTGACACGATTAGTGAAAAACTCATTTCAATCTTTCACTAAAAATAATTTAGCTTTAAAGCGACGGTACAAAGTAGAAAGTAGCTATTCGCCCCCATTTGGTAGATACCTGCCATAGAAATACATAGGAAACAAAAAAAATCCTACTACTATTCGTCATTATTCATCAGAGCATTCCGGTGGACCTTTGCTCTTAGTTAAAAGTCTCGTCGGTCTGTTAGTCTGTCAGGTCTGGCTACCCAGATACCAAACATGTTTAAGGGGAAAAGGGAAAGAAGGAAAGAAAGGAAGGAAGAAATAGAGCAAAGAAAAGAAGTAAATCATTTAAAATAGCTTAAGCACTATTGCTTTGACTACTCGAATAATTTTGTAGCTCCAAAAAATAATTCTCATCGGTTTTGTATACTGAAATACTTTTGGCTGGTCTGAATTCACAATTTAATTATGATCACAGTGCGAAGCGCGGCCTGGAATGTTTGCGAACTTGAAAAAAAAACAATCCTGTGGTTAAGCTTCAATCATTTTTATTTGAATCCTGAATGGCTCACAGATTTGGATTTACTGAAAAACGAAAGAAATAATCACCTTTCAAAGATCTCTTTATCTTTCTGTATAAAATGGGTAGCTGTATTTTAAAAATACCAGCAGTACAATTACGTACTTTATTTTTGTCAAAATAAATGAATTACGTAAGACTGGTTGCCTACTAATAGTTCACTTGTCCAAACACTGAAATACTACATACATATTTTACTTATGTTTTTGTTAATAGATTGCCCTCTGTGCGCTGAGAACATCAAATCCACTGTTCACTGTTTGTATTTCTATCTGAAATCAATGCTGAAATCCCCCTCAGACAAATAATTTCCGTCCGGCCTATTCAATGGAATCTTCAAATGCCGGGGATGTTTTTACCTTTTTTTGTGTAACAACCGAAAATGCTAATCTACAAAATGAGGGCTGCTCCCCTATTTCGTCTGAACACAACATAATATCCGAATCAAGAGAAGACAAGGGAATAATCGCGCTGAATAACCACCAAAAAACTGCGGCACGTCGACGACGGGCGTACTTGAGGGATAACCTATGATATAGCACAGTCGAGTTATGAATTTTAATACTAATTTTTTGATTTAAAATTTTTATGATTTATCTGTAAAGACAATTTTCAATGATACTACGATTTATCTGCGAAGTTTCTATAGATAATTTCCAATGGTATCTCGATTTCTGGTTTGTGCGTTTTTGTTCTAATTTGTCTATTTTTGCACACAACACCATGAATTGTCTATTCAGTTGTACTATATAATTTCCAATGGTAACTCGATTTCTGATTTCCTGTCAAGTATTAATGACTATTTATATATACACACACACTTTCTAATGATACTATGGATACACGCTACGATTCGTCCGGAAAGTTTTTGTACATATCTTCCAATGGTAGTATGATTTGTCTGTGAAGATTTTGTTCTAATTGATAGTAGCAGCTTAGTCTAATTTTATATAACTAGAAATTAAAAGTACGGAATCTGACAACCTTCGGTTCCAGTAAGTACCAACACGAGGTTCACTTGATAGTGGGGGATTTGTTCAGTCATCCAGTTTCTTCCGATTTTAATATGGAGGACATTATTTCTGAGATCTCCGAGCGTGTTAAGCGCAAAAACAATGTGATACTGTTTAACGTTGCCGAACCCGATCAAAGAATGTCTATCAACGAGCAAATTGAAGATGATAAAGCTGTGGCTATTGATGTATTACAAAAAGTTGCACCGGAAATTAGGCTTCAAAATATAAAGCCAATGAGGCTAGGTTCATTCTCTGGCACAAAGGTTAGGCCTATTAAATTGATACTGGAGAACAATGATACAGTGCGAAAAGTGTTGGCGAATTCTAAAAAACTGAAATCAATTGATAACTATAAGCACGTAAACATATCACAGGATCGTACAAAAAGACAGCTAGAATACTGCAGGAGTATCAGAAATCATCTATCAGGACGGCGTGAAGCAGGGGATACTAATTGCAGAATCAAATTTATTAACGATACCCAGGATTATTCCGGTAAACTAGAGCGGTCCAGCAGCGAAGATAATGCTTCTATATCTATTCATTACCTACCAAAATGTCAGAGGTCTCAACACCAAGACAGATACATTCTTCTCAGCGGTTAGTGATTGTGAGTTTAGTGTCGTTGCTCTAAGTGAAACATGGTTAAAAAATGAAGTGAATTCATTCGAATTGTTTTCGCACATTTATGATATACACCGAAAAAAAAAGAAAATATAATGAACTGAATTTAACAACAGGTGGAGGTGTATTATTGGCAATTGAATCATCACTCAATTCTCTTGGAGTCGATACTTCCCAGTTTGATGCAAGTATTCCAGAAATTGATTTTTTAGTTTGCAGAGGTTGTGTATCTATGTGCTTATAATATTTATTTTGCCGTCATTTATATTCCACCGCATATACCTGTTGAAAGGTTTGAACGTTTTTTTGACATGTTGGAGACTTGGAAGTGTTACTCTTAAAACATGTTATATTCTTGGGTGATTTCAATTGTCCTAATTTTGTAGAGAATAACTTAAATGATGCTAAAGTCCGTTCGATTTTAAATTGGGTTAATTTTGGTAATATGAAACAATGTAATGAGATTCGTAATTACAATAATAGAATTTTAGACCTAGTAGTAAGTAATTTTGATTGTGTTGTATCTAATGATGATAATCCCCTAGTTAATGAAGATAGGTATCATCCATCCTTATAAATATCGGTAAACAAGTTGTACAAAAGTAATAAGCATTTTCCAATCAATAATCATCAAAAGCGTTACAATTTCAGACGTGCAAATTTTATCTTATTAT